TCTCTCTCTCTCTCTCTCTCTCTCTCTCTCTCTCTCTCTCTCTCTCTAACTGTATCTCCTTCAACCTCTTGTTTTCATACTCTTTTCTTTTGTCTGTGTGACTTTTCTAGTTTTGCAAAGCTCATTCAATTCTTCAGTTTTCTGTAAAAATCAAAGCTTTTTGCAATCATTCTCCGGGCCAGAGTTTTCTTTTAACCGGCGCAAGCTTTTGTCGAGCGTGATTTATCACTGGGTTTGCATATTTTTCCTGGTGGGTATTCTTCTAATTGTTCAAAGTTCCGACCTTTATTTTTATAAAGAGTTTGGTCACTAGAATCTGAAGCTGGAGAGACTCGAGTTTTTATGGTTTCAAGCTTTATTGAGTTGTGTAGAAGAAAGGGTTTGGAGTTTCGCGTAAGTTATTTGGAGTTTCAGAGATATTCTGGTTTTGGGTTAGGTGAGACCTTGTCTAGCCTGGGAGATAAATGATGAATACGAGTGATTTGGGTTGGGATGATGAAGAGAAGCCGGTGGTTAGTGCCGTTTTAGGGCATTTAGCTTCAGATTTTCTTCGAGCAAACTCAAATTCGAATCAGAATCTGTTTTTGGTTATGGGAACTGATGATAATTTGAATAAGAAGCTCTCTAGTCTCGTAGATTGGCCCAACTCGGAGAATTTCAGCTGGAACTACGCTATTTTCTGGCAACAGACCATGTCTAGATCCGGGCAACAGGTCTTAGGTTGGGGAGATGGGTGTTGTCGAGAGCCTAATGAGGCCGAGGAATCAAAAGCTCTTCGGTCTTATCATTTTAACAACCTGGGATTAGAGGAAGAGACATGGCAAGATATGAGGAAGAGAGTGTTGCAGAAGCTTCATAGGTTGTTTGGTGGATCTGATGAAGACAATTATGCTTTGAGCTTAGAGAAAGTTACTGCTACTGAGATTTTCTTCTTAGCTTCTATGTATTTCTTCTTCAATCACGGTGAAGGTGGTCCGGGGAGGTGCTATGCTTCAGGGAAGCATGTTTGGCTCTCTGATGCTGTTAACTCCGAGTCTGATTATTGTTTCAGGTCTTTCATGGCTAAGTCTGCGGGAATCAGAACGATCGTCATGGTTCCTACTGATGCTGGTGTTCTTGAGCTTGGTTCTGTTTGGTCTTTGCCTGAAAACATTGGCTTGGTGAAGTCTGTTCAAGCTTTGTTCATGAGGAGAGTTGCGCAGCCTTTGACGGTGACTTCAAACGCTAACATGAGTGGTGGCATTCACAAGCTCTTTGGGCAGGATTTGAATAACTTGGAACATGGAGCTCGCGCATATCCTAAGAAGCTGGATGTGAGAAGAAACTTGGATGAGAGGATCACTCCTCAAAGTAGGGAAGGCTGTAATCATAACAAGGGTCAAACATTTGGTGGTTACACATCTCAGAGACAAGACGTGATAGTGCAAGAGAATGTGAATGTGGTTTTAGATGATAACAAGTACAAGATGCAGACTGAATTTGCGGGATCATCCGTTGCTGCTTCTTCGAATCCATCTACAAATACTCAACTAGAAAAATCAGATTCTTGTACCGTGAAAAGACCAGCAGCCTTATTAGCAGCATCAGGAGCAGGAACGGTTTCTGTTGTTGATGAGAAGAGACCGCGGAAACGAGGAAGAAAGCCTGCAAACGGAAGAGAAGAGCCACTGAACCATGTGGAAGCTGAAAGGCAGAGACGCGAGAAACTTAACCAAAGGTTTTACGCATTACGGTCAGTTGTTCCAAACATTTCCAAAATGGACAAAGCTTCGCTACTTGGAGATGCAATTTCTTACATCAAAGAGCTTCAAGAGAAAGTAAAGATCATGGAAGCTGAAAGAGTAAGAACAGAGAGCAGCTTATCGGAATCAAACCCGATGGCCACAAGAACAGTCGAAAGTCCAGAAGTTGACATTCAAGTTGTGAATGAAGAGGTTGTTGTAAGAGTAATCTCACCGTTTGATTCACATCCAGCTTCAAGAATCATACAAGCAATAAGAAACTCAGAGGTTAGTGTAATGGAGTCTAAGTTATCATTAGCCGAAGAGACAATCTTTCACACTTTTGTGGTAAAGTCTAACAACGGGTCGGATCCATTGACGAAAGAGAAGCTTATAGCAGCGGTTTACCCGGAAATAAGCTCGACGCAGCAGCCATTACCGTCTTCTAGTTCACAGGTTTCTGGTGATTTCTAGGTCTCACTCACATGATGGTGAAAGCTTCATTGTTCCAGTATAGATAACTTTCGTCAGGTTCAACTAGAAATAGATAAAAAATCCTTTTTTCTTTACTCTTTTCTTAGAGTGAAAGGAATCCAGTTTTCGTATATCCGCTAACGTTATTATACCTATGTGATGTGACTATGTCGATGATTAATTCACATATTTGTATCTTGGGAACATTTTTTCCTACTTAAGAAAACGAAATAAAGTAGTAAGAAAGATATATTTGACTTTACTTTCTTTGGGATTATATGGATGCTGATTGAATCGTTCTGTGATCCATGTGTTAAACATGTTGTTTCCTTATAATCTCATAAACCAAATCACTATTTAATGGATTGAAAACGGACTCAAAATAAATATCTAGTGTAACTTTTTTTTATTTTTTCTTTTGCATCAAACATACTAATTTTACAGCAATACTCAAGAACATCTTACATGTTTCTTTAGTTCAATATTTTTGAAATTACCCAAATCTTGTGCATATTGTTAATGATATGTTTGATATTTCAGGAGACTGATGACCTTTAAAATATTAGAAATCTATTTGTGATAAATAAATAAAAGCATTCCCACTATTATTTTGCTCTGATATTAGTATTTAGCTTTCCCATGATCCATAATTTTGTGAATATCCCACGTTGTCCTTTGCTCGTTTGCTTTGTTACTTTAATCTGCTCTTTCGGATTTGGGCCTTTAGGCCTTTCAGTAGCTTTTTCAAAGCCCAGCATAAAGCCCAACTCTACTAATGCTCCTTCTACCTCTACGACGAAGATTGTGCTCTGATTCATTTCGTTTAGGTTTTTGTTTTTCTCCGATCAGATCCAAATTCAATTCCTTGAACTCCTCAACGGATTCCTTATCCGGCTGACTCTCAACTCCGCCGCGATGTCTCTCCGCCGCACTATCCTCGATCTCCAACGTCAATCCCACAGAGCCTCTCTCTCAAAATCATTACCTTTCTCGATGAGTCACATCTCCTCCGCGTCCGCCACCGCCGCCGTGAGAAACCCACTGGGAAGAGACATCTCTTCAATCCCCTTTGCTCTAGCCCAGAAACTCAAACCAGATTCAACTAACCTCGTCACGGATCGTTCGATATCTTCGTCAATTCGACAGTCTGATCTCAACAACGCAGCGACATTCTCGCGTCTCTCGTCTTCCCGAGGTTACAGTAACGCATCTTTCTTACCAAAAATCCATCTGCTCTATCACATAAATGAAGGTATGGAAGAGATTCTGGCGGATTACGTTCACCAAGAAATGACTCGGAATTTGATGGTCATCTCTTTGGGATTGTTCCAGTTCATCGTTATCAAAGATATTTTCTTGTTTCTTTTCTGAAACAAGATTACATCTTTTGGGGGATCTAAGGAACACTTGAACATCACCTGTTAAATGAATACTCTTTCCTTTTTATCTTATTTCGTTTATGAATAAAGAACATGATGATGCATCGCATCTTTTTTTTACCTTCAAGCTTCTGTGTGTGTTGGTTCATTTTCTAGTTTGGTGTAAAGGCTTAAGTGGAATTTTAAGTCTGTTCAATAACTTTACTGGTTAGCATTAGGAGGGTTCTTCCTGATGCTTTGAGACTCTGTTAAGCTTTTGATTGAATAACAAGAAGTTCTATCAGCTCCCCTTCTTTGTAATTCCATCATTTTATTATCTCAGTTGAGTGTGATTAATCACTAGGTTTGCAGTATTTGTTTCTATTGATCTCAGTTTCTTCGTTTTGAAACCTAGCTATATAGTAATCTTAAGCTATTCTGGATCAATGGGTTGAGTTGTGTAGTAGAAAGTGATGTTCTCCAGAGTTGATTGCGTTTACAAGTTCAGACGTTTCTGTGATTTTGGAACGGTTTGATCTTAGGAGATAAATAAAGACAATGACGACTTTCAACAAGTAACAAAATATTCCATTGTAGGAAAGCTATCTCGAATTGAGTCTCGTACCCTCGGATCTTCGGGAACCAGGTAAACGAAGAAACTGTAACCAATGTACGACCTCAACTCCTAAGCTTTAGTAGATTACGATTGTACTGGTTCAGTCTCTGAAATTAATGTTATGAAGATTAAGAATAAGATTGGCTTGGTCTGTTAAAGGTGGATGGATTGGAGACTTTGATGAACCTGTTAAGATGCAACTATACCAATATATTCATGTTATGTACTTTATGTTCCATAGCTCAAAGTCTGAAACACGTTGGATAGAAGCAGAGACCTGGAACTCTTAAAACTTTTGTATTTAGCTTATTACGATAACGATTTTACCGGTTCAGTGACTCCAATTCTCGCCTAAAACCTCCTCAAACCGGAAATCTTGACCAATGCTGATCCAAAACGGTGATATCTCCAAGTCTCTCTGGCTTGGTTTCCACTCCAAGGTTAAAAAGTTATGGAAATATATATAAACCGTCACAAGGATACGGAATAAAGGTAAAAAATACTATAAAACCAACGAAACAGGTGTATACGGTATACTATAGTCACCGGCGACAATAAACAAAGGGGGAAGTAGTAGTACATTAAAGAAGAAGATTCATCATCATACGCGTCATCTACCCATTCGAGGTGGCGACACGTGTCCTTCCTCCTACTTTCCTTTCTTTTGAAAAACCTCTCTCTCTCTCTCTTTCTCTCTCTAAAACTCTTCTCTTTTGACCCTTGTTTCCCGAGCTGTGAATGCTTTGTACGCCATTGATTTTAACCCTAACTCTCTAGTTTTTGCTATTATTGGATTGGATCATCCTTAAAGCTCCACGCTTTGTCCGAATTTCCCCTTTGGTTCTTTCCTTCTGGTAAGAATCCGCTCTCGTTGTCTTTTTTACTCTTTTTTTTTTCATTCCTTTATATGGTGCGTCATCGATCTCCGATTCGTTCTTCGCTGGATTCGATTTTCTGTAGCACCGATTCCTGATATTCACCTGCAGCAATCGATCCCTGATCTGTTTAGGTTTGATCTGCTCTTTTCTTTATAGGGTTTGTTCTTGTTGTTGTTTCTCGAAGAAGAAGAAGAAGAAGAAGAAGAAGCCATGGATTTGGGATTTTAGGGGTTATTGCGGTTTCTTGTATATAAAGCCGAGGGGTTTTGTGTTGAAGACATCGAATCCTGTTTTTTGTTTTTGTTTTTTCCCGTAAAAGTTCGTAGATTTCTCCAAGCTCTTTTTTGTTAAGGATGTCATCAGCTGGTGTTGCGTTAAGTCCGGTTCGTAGCGAGCCATTGATTATGCCTCTGGTTCGTGCGAGTTCTTGTGTTGATTCCTATCCAGACGAGACCATTATGATTTACCTGACACTCCCTGGAACGGTGATACCAATGCGAGTGCTTGAGTCTGATTCTATCGAGTCTGTTAAGCTCCGGATTCAGTCTTATCGAGGGTTTGTGGTGAGGAATCAGAAGCTTGTTTTTGGGGGACGGGAGCTAGCTAGAAGCAATTCTAATATGCGTGATTACGGTGTTAGTGAAGGGAACATTCTTCACTTGGTTCTTAAGCTCTCTGATCTCCAGGTTCTTGATGTTAAGACTACCTGTGGAAAACACTGCAGGTTCCATGTGGAGAGAGGGAGAAACATTGGCTATGTGAAGAAGCAGATTTCGAAAAAGCGTGGAGACTTTGTTGATCCTGACGAACAGGAGTTACTTTACGAAGGTGAGAAGTTGGAGGACCAGAGTCTTATTAATGACATTTGCAGAAACGATGACTCTGTTTTGCATCTGCTTGTGCGGAGATCTGCTAAAGTTCGTGCTAAGCCTGTCGAGAAGAACTATGAGCTGTCTATTGTTGCCCCACAAGCAAACGATAAGAAGGGTCGTCAAGCTGATAGCATTGTGCCACCAAAAAAGCTTTCTGATCGCCTCTCCTTGGAGCCGGTAATTATCAACTCCAAGGCTAAAGTACCTCTGGTGGTTAAAGACATGGTTAGGTCTGCTTCTGATGGACTACATAGTGGGAATTCTCCGGTCAGGTCAAGAGAAGGCACTGGAGGAGCTTATTTCATGCAGGGTCCTTCTGGCAACAAATTTGTTGGTGTATTTAAGCCAATCGATGAGGAACCAATGGCTGAAAACAATCCTCAAGGATTACCACTCTCGCCAAGCGGTGAAGGTTTGAAGAAAGGAACAAAGGTTGGAGAAGGTGCGTTAAGGGAAGTCGCTGCTTACATTTTGGATCATCCCAAAAGTGGAAACCGATCTATGTCCGGTGAAGAGATAGGTTTTGCTGGTGTACCTCCCACAACTATGATTGAATGTCTCCATCCAGGGTTTAATCATCCCAATGGAATCAAAACCAAGATTGGATCACTTCAGATGTTTACCGAGAACGATGGCAGCTGTGAAGATATGGGTCCCCTTTCATTTCCAGTTGAGGAAGTTCATAAGATTTCTGTACTGGATATCAGACTTGCCAATGCAGACAGACATGGTGGGAACATTCTGATGACCAAGGACAAAAACGGAAAGATCGCTTTGGTTCCTATCGATCATGGATATTGCTTGCCTGAAAGCGTAAGTGCTCTTAACTCTTTTTCTCTTCTTTTTTTTTTTTTTAGATTCCGTGTTTCGCTTATATTGATATCATTATAAAACTAACTTTTGTATCTTTCAACAGTTTGAAGATTGCACGTTCGAGTGGCTATATTGGCCACAAGCCCGAAAACCGTACTCTGTAGAAACTCAAGATTACATTAGATCACTGGACGCAGAGGAAGATATTGATCTACTGAAGTTCCATGGATGGAAAATGCCTGTGGAGACGGCTCGAACGCTCAGAATCTCAACGATGCTTCTGAAGAAAGGAGTGGAAAGAGGACTAACGGCATTTGAGATTGGAACCATCATGTGCAGAGAAACACTAAATAAGAAGTCTCTAGTGGAGGAAATGGTAGATGAGGCTCAAGAAGCGGTGCTTCCAGGGACAAGCGAAGCTGCATTCCTCGAAGCTCTATCTGATGTGATGGATTACCATCTCGATGAGATGGTTCGCTCTCAGGAACAGTAAAGTTGGTTCTTGTGTTAACTCAATGCTCTCGTATATACTCTTGGTTTGCTTTTGTATTTTTCTTATGACATCATTTCTGTCATTCTTTGGACATGTTCAAGTTGTTGGTTAATTTCACTCAGACATATTCCCTTATAATGACAATATAAGTGTTTACAATAGCTTTCTTTCTTTGTATCATTTATCGCTTCTTTACACTATACCATTGGCTCTGTGAATAAGCAATAAATGAGACCAAAACTACTGTGAAGCTCCACAATATATAACTCTTTCTTCAAACTATTACAGGAGCATCAAAAGACAAATCGATGAGAAAGAACATCTTGGGTTGCTCTGTTCTCTCCAACTCTTTCATGTCATCGAGCTTTGCTTTTAATGCCTATTTGGTTCTATCGTGAATGTTCTATATCGAAGAAGAATTACTTGTATTTTTCTGGTATGACCACCTATTCTCAAATTATATCTTTTTTAAAATGCTATCAAATTGAAGTGTGTGCAAAGGGTTCTCATGATTTGAATAATTAGTCTTCACTTTAATATGTCTCCATTAATTTTCTTAAAACTGTATCTTGACCAGCATCTATCTTCAAAAGGGAACAAGTACGACCTTTCCATAGATCCATCGATCAGACTACAATATTATATTATATTATTCCTCATCTAGCCAACAAAACGAATATTATTTATATTTTACGAGAAGAGATATATAGATCTCTCCAAGTCTTAGCTTATTTATATTAAGTGCAATAATAAGTCTTCGTGTCCCTCCCTTAGTACCAAAACCACAAATATGACTTTCTCAAAACAAATCTTTCTTTACCTCTTTTGCATCTTCCCTCTTCTACATGCTTCACACCCAAAACAATGCTCCTCTTCCTCATGCGGTCATGACGACGTTCATGTCCGTTTCCCTTTCTGGTTACTCTCGAAACAGCCCGACTTCTGTGGCCACGTCGGATTCAGTCTCCAATGCACAACTAGTCCCAAGACAGCTCTCAATCTCCCTAATACCGGAACATTTCTTGTCCGAGAGATCGACTACATAAGCCAGCAGATTCGTCTCCATGACCCTGAAAATTGCTTAGCGAGAAAGCTTTTGAACTTTGACATTTCGGGATCTCCTTTCTCGGCTCTCTACCTTGCCAGCTACACGTTCTTGAGCTGTCCTAATGATGTTGCAAAGTCGTCGGGGTTTGACTCTATCCCATGTCTAGGCAATTCAACGACCTCGTTCTATGCTACAACAAGTTTGGATGGTGCGAAATCTATGCTTCCTTCTTGTCAGATCGTGAAAACGTTAGCTATTCCGGTTTCTAGGAGGGTTGTTGCCGCGAAATCAAGATTCTCAACTGATGTCAACGATCAAGACCTTTGGCTGAAATGGGATTCTCCAAGTTGTAGCCATTGTGAGAGAGATTACTTGAGATGTGGATTCATAAGTAATACCTCTCTCCAAGTGAAATGCTTCCCTTTTGAAAAATCCGGTACCAATTCTTTCTCTTCTTACTTCTTATAATTAACTCCATTGATAATAATGAATGAATAATTAATTCCCTTCGTATAAATCTTCGAATCCAATGATTCTTTGAATTTTTATTTTTGTTTTTGGGGATTTTCAAATAATTATCTACTTATCAAACAACTAGGAAAAAAAAAAAACTAGTAGACACATTACATTTGACATTGAGCCATTGACTTTTTGATTAGTTAATTGTTTAATTACATTTTTTTTTCAAAAGATCGAATCCAATCCTTTCATGTCGTCGTCACACGCTAGAATGTCGTACGCCGTATATAAACCCTATGATATACGAATATAAAAGTGAATAATACGTAACATGACGACGTGTTGATTACTAATTTGTACTAGTTTCATGCTTGTGAATTATCACAAAGTTTTTGTTGACAACAAAGCAAAATAATATGCAGGCAGCAACACAGGACTACAAGTGGTTAAAATTATAATCCTGAGCATAATTGGACCGGTGACGATCTTTGCAACATGTATTGCAATCGGAGTTTGTACGTCCGAAAGATTTGCTTCCCGGAGACAACGCAACGTAGCCGTAGCTGCCCTACAGCCAAACGAGGTTGTGGTGACCACGGGTCTCGACGAGTCTATAATAGAATCATATAAGAAAATGGAATTAGGAGAGAGTAGAAGATTACCGGGGACCAATAATGATATCGTTTGCCCCATTTGTTTATCGGAGTATGCAAGCAAAGAGACAGTGCGGTGCATACCGGAATGTGATCATTGCTTCCATATTGAATGTATAGATGCGTGGCTTAAGATTCATGGTTCGTGTCCTCTTTGTCGGAATTCTCCTTCTCCGGCGCGTGAAGCTACCTGAAATGGTATGAATCTGTAATACATATGCATGAAAGTATTTAAATGATTCTGTAAAAATATACATTCATTTTACCAAAATATAAATTCACATTTGTAGAAGATTTTTTTCTTTCTTTTTTCTCGAGGTTATAACGAATATAATAGCGATTAGCTACGTTTGTTTTACAACTCAATTTTTTTTTTTTTTTTTTTGTTAAATTTTATATACACAATTAGTTATAATTATTATGTAGTCTACTATAGTCGGATTGACGTCCTATTTCTCCCCAAAAACTATAGCATCGTACCAAATCTACGCAGAACTTCAACCTCATTCCATGTCTCACCGAGTCGATAGTTCTAAACTCATTTCCACCCAAATCCGATAGTTCTCATCCATTTCTCCAATTTTTTGGTTTAACCGGTTTACAAACCAAACCCGATAGAACCGACGTAAACCAGATATGAAATTAATTTTTAAATTAGCTACAGTATCATCTTCTTCGTTGGATCCAAAAGCTTGATAAAAGTGACTACATTATCATCTTCTTCAACCATATACCACTTGATCTTTTAAACACCAATGAGATTTCTCAACAGTTTTCCACACGAAGTACTGATCAATTCACCACCAAATTCGCTGTAAGAACCCTAACCAAAAGATCAATCACACCCAATATGATCAAAACACCCCTCTACGAAACAATACCCAGAAAATAAAAAAAAACACAGATTTCTTAGATTCTTCTTAAATCCCATCTCAGAATCAAGAAACCCAACAAGGATGCTAACCATATCACTAATCTCGAGCTTATAAAAAAATAATTTGATTCCTTTTAAAAACTGAAATCGTTCAAGAACTACATAGATCGAGAGTTATTGTTATGGGAAGAAAGCAATTTCAAGCTTATAAAAACTGAGACTTGATACAGTAAATTTCAAATTTCAATTAGATACCGCACATCGGGAGCTATCATCAAAATTCCCAGCCATGACATCTAAATCAATTTGCATCAGAAATTTCTCACCGTGTGCATTAGGAAAGGTTCACAAGAGAGAGATTAGAATGAGTAAGATTAAGCAAGAGGAAGATGGATCGAATCCAGAACTGAGATTCTCTAAAACAGCAAGACTAGAGTAAAGCTCTTCGAGCTTGGTTCTTATGAGTTGCAAGGTCGTGGTCCTTACACCGGAGTCTACCACGGTCGGAGGTGTTTAATTTTACGATTAGATGGGTTTAGTTTAAAAATTGGGTTGAAAGAAGGTTTAGTCCGGTTAATAAAAAATTTTAGTTGGTTAAGGAAATATTAAACCAACAGCAAACCTCATCAACTTCGATTTATGGGGCAATAGATGATATCAGATACTTTGAGGAGAAAATAACAATAAAACTTTAGATTCGGGTGGAAATCGGTTTAGAATTATCGACTCGGTGAGACATGAAACGAGGTTGAAGTTCTGTGTAGATTTGATACGATGCCATAGTTTCCGGGGAGAAATAGTACGTCAATCCACTATAGTCTCCTAGTGGATGTCCTCTCACCTTAATGAAATTTGACCGTTGTAAAAACAGTAAAAAGTGAACCGTTGTAATGGGAACCCAAATTTCTACTATATATATAAATATACAGGGAAGAAAAAAAGGAAACTCAAACTCGTCGAGAAAATGAAAATAACCAAACAAAATCGAAAGTTTCCTTTTTGGCTCTCTCATCTCATGCATCTCTTCTTTTTTCATTATTGAGAAATCAGAATTCTCTATTCTTCTTCAGTTCTTCTTCTTCTTCTTCGAGAAACGAAAACCAAAAAAGCCAAAAAGTAATCCTCTTATCTTCTTCTCCTTCTTGAAAGACTCAACATTGAAGTAATAAAGCCGACAATGGTCGCTCTCTGCAACAAAACACTTATCAATGGTAAGAATCAATGGATTTTTGTGAAAAATGATCAGTTCATCCTCTGTTTTGAGTGACTCAATCCGTTCGTCTCTACCCCTAAATAAATTATATATTTCACAGTTAGCAAAGCTAGGAGGAAGTGAAATCGAAGCAGCTAAGAAGGTTCCACGGTTTCAGACTAAACAAAGAGAATCATTTGCGAGAGAGAGGAAGAGGATGAACAAAGGTCTCTCTCAAAACAAATCCGACTGTTTCGTCGTCAAGAAATGCTGTGACACGTCACCACCTACCTACGGCACAGAGAAGGCTCGCATCTGGGCCTTGGAAATGGGCTACTCCTTACCACAGTCCAACAAGGCATGATTTTCTTCATTTCTTCTCCCTTTTTTTTTTTAAATTTAAAAAGATTTTGATTTGTTTCTCTTCTCTTTTAAATAATTTTCAATTTTAATTTTCTGATTAAAAAGTTTATTTTTCGGTAAAATCTTTCTTTATCAAAAACTATATTTTAAACTAAACAATTTTAATTTCATGACATTTTTTAATTAAACAAAATATTTTCAATCTAAAAAATAATTTATAAGTGTTAAATTTTAATATGTTGAATACAAACCGAGCTTAGACATCCAGTTCATAAGGTTTTCTTTAGTCCGTAAGTTTGGTGTTATAAGTTCAACATGATTTCACGTTGTAAAAATTTAACACTTAAAAGTTATTTGATTTGTTTTTTTTGGTTGCAAAATAATGTTTTGAATTTTTAATTAAACAAAATGTTTTCAATCTCAAATAATTCTTTAAATGTTCAATTTTTATGCGTTGAAAAACAAATTGAGCTTAGACATCCAGTCCATAAGGTTTCCTTTGGTCCGTAAGTTTGGTGTTATAAGTTCAACATGATTTCACGTGGTAGAAGTTTAACACTTAAAAATTATATGATTTTATTTTTGCAAAATAATGTTTAAATATTTATTTTTTTCTGTAGCTAAATTTTTTTTTGATTTTTTTTTCAATCTCAAATAATTTTATGTTAAATTTTAATGCGTTGAAAACAAAACGAGCTTAGGCATCCAGTTCATAAGGTTTCCTTTTTGGTCTGTTAGTTTGGTATTATAAGTTTAACACGTTTTCACGTTATATAAATTTAACACTTAAAAAGTTATTTGATTTTTTTTTTTGTAAAATAATAGTTTAAATTTTTTAAATATTTTTTTAACACTCTTTTCTCCCGTACTTCCGGGGACTAACGACGGGACTGTATGTCCGATTTGTTTATCAGAGTATGAGAGGATAGAGAGCATACGGTCCATACCGGAATGTGAGCCGGAATGTGAGCATTGCTTCCACGTGGAATGTATTGACGTGTGGCTTAAGATTCATGGCTCATGCCCTCTTTTGTAGGAACTCTCATCTCATGTGCGTCAAGTAGATGCTGAAATCTGTCTACGTTGGTATGAAATATATTGTTTTGCCTTATTTTGTTTTATCAGAGAGCACGGGAGACAAGAGTACATATCCAAGATGGATACTACGATGAATCATGATCACACCTTAATCGTAATGGTTTTGCATGACGCATGAGATTTCTCAATACTTTCCAATTCCAACCCATCAGGTATGTTGTTGCTATATAATGATGACACTCTTTTAAAAGATTTCTCTTAATACGATCTGATTGCTGCTTCATGATTGTACTGTTAGCCTCTAATATTAGTATTTAACAAAGGTTTTAACTAGATTTCAATGGTTTGAGTCTATGAATGTCTTGTGTTAACTACACGAAACTACAAAGAGAGACGCTTTATTGCCAAAGATTCAACTTTTACAACCACATTTGACTGTATAGATAAAAGTTTCCTAAATTACTTTTGCTCTTCATAAGAAGAACTAAATTGACCTACACAAGTTTATATGGCTAATCGTTCAAAACTTCAATAGTAACATCCGTCAAACATTTTCGTTTCTTTTACAAAAATACAAAGACACACAAATGTATATATTTTTGTTTATTTTGTCCTCAAATACAAATTATTAAGAAAATTAATTAAACGGATATTAGCCAAAAAAGTTAACAAATAACCTGGAATTGAATTGATCATCATCATCATCAATCATCAATCATCAATCGTCCATCCCAGCTGTTGATTCGATCTGCTCGGGACCTCCGTAGAAGCTTCATCCGCCGGTAATTCGGACGCCAGATTTGACAGAGAAGAGGACGACGAAAGCGATTGGAGATTAGACGAAGACGACGACGAGGGGAAGAGATTCAGAGCCATGATGTTGCCTTCGCTCCAAGACCTTCGGATCGGGAAGGAGATGCTCTCTGAGCTTCCGTGGCGGCGACAAGACGGCGGCCGTCGCTGGTTTTGATTTTTTCCAACGCCGCTTGATTTATCGTGGAGCGCACATCCGCAGTTTTTGTGGTAAGGACGCCGCTCGATTGCGGAATCAAGGCCAGAGATACAACCTTCGAAGATGCTGCGAAATATCCCGTCGGCGGCCATCGTTTTGGCTGATTCTACGATTTCGAGATCCGGTGGAGAAGGAAAGGATCTGAATCTTTCGTTAAACTCGATTTAACTATTTATTGTCTTTCTTTCTTTTTTTTGGTTGTAAATATAAAAGGGCTTAGGTTCGATAAAAGCCCAATAAGGCCTAATCTGACGGCGTAAGTTTGCCACTCTGGCGTTGAAATGAAAAGACGCCGTTCGATACTTGACAGCTACTTATAAATATCTCTGCTTTTCTTAGTATTTTACTATTATACCCTTTTTAAAAGCTAATGACTTAAACGACGTCGTGACTTGCTCCTTAGGCCATGTGATTGAAACGACGACGTTAAGGGTTTCAGTTGCAAGTATAAAAGTCGATTTGAAAACAAAACTCTGTTTAGAGTTGTACACAGTGACACAGATCAGAGAAGAGCAAAGAGCAGAGAGAGAGAGCAACTGAATTTGGCGATCGTCTCTTAGATTGGGTTAGGGTTTGACGTCTCCGATGGCGAGGAGAAACGAACGAAGATTTAGGTGCAGAGACCTGAGTGAATGGGTGAAGCCAGTGATTTTTGGGTTTCTCTTATCTCTCGTTTATACCACCCTCATCATCGGCTACAGACTTCACTCGCGCTCGTATTTTGGTTTGCTTTCTTACACCATTGCTATCGTTTCTTTCTTTATCTCTCAAGTCTTCTCTGTTTTCGAGTTCTGTTCCACCATTGATCGTTTCTTTCCTATCTCACTCTTTCGTTTTTCTTGATCACTGGTGAATTTTAATTTTCTTGAGGTGGTTTTTGCAAAATCGTGTTCGTGTATTTTATTTTACGATGTTAAAAGGTTTCAGTGATTCTTGGAAGCCTTTCTTATTAATTCTGCAAATGATTTCAGAGAACAGCACTGGGAATACCTTCTTCGACAAGGTAACGTTATCATCACATTGTACTTGAAAGATTTCAAAAGAAATACTGAGAATGTAAGTTGTTGAATGGATGTTTTTAGGATCTTGACTGGAGGGAACAGAAAGCTCTGGAATCTCTTCGATCTCTTTTCACAAAAGAGGCAAGTTGTCAATTTTGCTGCTTTCGTTCTCCTTTTGTACTTTTACTAACCAGCGATTGAAACAGGTGCTTGCTGTTCTCAATGCCACCACATCCAGTGATAATCCTTTGAGCCTTGAGTCGCTCAGGAAGAAGAATCATGCTCTTGAAACTTCTACTGAGGTAGAGATATGTACTTATCATATATAATTGGGTTGTGGTTTTAAGTTGACAGGTACGAAGTTACTGATGCTGCTGCTTTGTGACTTTGAAGGGAAACGAGGACAAAATGGTTCCTGGTTTTGGTCATGGAACCTGGATAGGAAAAGGATCCCAAGCGTTGAATGATACACCAGATATGGTAACTTTTCTATGCTTCATTTTTCTTTAAATACGCAGTTCACATCACATGCCTGATTTGATGTTGTGTTGTTCAAGAGCCTGATACATGAAAGAAGAGTGAAACGGGCAGATGAACTGAGGAATGATGACACTGTTCACAAGTTTGAGAAGGCAGCCATTGCACGTTCCAGATCTCTCCATTCTCCACCACTAGGAAATTACACCATCTGGAAAAATGAATACCAGATTGGCAACAACTTTGAAGACATGTTACGTCTCATGCAAGATCAAATCATTATGGCACGAGTTTACAGTGGTCTTGCAAGGATGACAAACAATCTCGCATTGCACGAAGAACTAGAAACACAACTAGCCAAAATAGCATTGGAGGAAGAATCAAGTGATACTGATCAACTACAGAGGTAATATTATCACTTTTTCAGATGAGGTTCATGAAATGGTCGAGAGTCTGAAATGTTTCATCATTTTGTTACAGTAGCAGAGTTCTTGATACTATAAGAGACTTGGGACAAATACTGGCTAGGGCAAACGAGCAGCTATATGGATGCAAGTTGGTGACGAATAAGCTGAGAGCAATGATACAAATAGCTGAAGAAGAACTCGAAAGCACGCAAACTTATACAACATTCTTGACTCAGCTGGCTTCTAAAGCAATACCAGATGCTATCCACTGCTTGACCATGCGCTTGGCTCTAGAGTATTACCTCCTGCCTTTACCTATGAGAAATTTCCCAAGAAGGGAGAATTTGGAGAATCCAAAGCTTTACCACTACACTCTCTTCTCTGATAATGTATTGGCTGCATCAGTTGTCGTCAATTCCACAGTCATGAATGCACAGGTAATGATCAATCACTAATAAGAATCAAGAGTGTTGCAAGAACAATAGCTTTAAGCTTACATGGCCTGCTGGTTTCTTTTTTTTGGCAGGATCCTTCAAGACATGTTTTCCACCTTGTGACTGATAAACTCAATTTTGGAGCAATGAGTATGTGGTTTCTGCTAAACCCTCCTGGAGACGCGACCATCCATGTCCAAAGGTTGGAAGATTTTGCTTGGCTCAACTCATCTTACTCCCCAGTTTTGAGACAGCTCGAGTCAGCAGCTATGAAGAAGTTCTATTTTAAGACAGATAGATCTGAATCAGCTGAATCAGGCTCAGAAAACCTCAAGTACCGGTACCCGAAATACATGTCAATGCTTAACCACTTGAGGTTCTATATCCCGAAGATCTTCCCAAAGTTAGAGAAAATCTTGTTCCTTGATGATGATGTGGTTGTTCAGAAGGATTTAACGCCACTGTGGTCCATAGATCTCAAAGGGAAAGTGAATGGTGCAGTAGAAACCTGTGGTGTCACCTTCCATCGCCTTGATACTTACTTAAACTTCAGTGATAAACACATTGCAGAAAACTTCGATCCGAAGTACTGTGCATGGGCTTATGGGATGAACATCTTTGACCTGAAAGAGTGGAGAAAGAGCAACATTACAGAAACTTATCACTTTTGGCAAGACATGGTTAGTTCTTCTTCTTGACTTTTGGTACTTATCATTCATCTGCATGTCTGTTGTAGGCTAAGTGAAGATCAATTTGTTTGTTCCTCTGGTTTTGCAGAACGAAAACCGGACTTTATGGAAGCTTGGAACATTGCCACCAGGGCTGATCACGTTCTACAATATGACACTACCGCTTCAGAGAAAATGGCACTTACTTGGACTGGGTTATGATAAAGGAATCGATGTCAAGAAGATTGAAAGATCAGCTGTTATACATTTCAATGGACACATGAAACCATGGACAGAGATGGGGATAAGCAAGTATCAGCCATACTGGACAAAGTATATCAATTTTGATCATCCTTTCATCCTTAGTTGCAGGCTGTTCGAATGAAGAAGACTAAGCTTCATCTTAGGTTACTTAGGTACATACATAACAATAACATGTAAGTTTTGATTCTGAAGGTATAAATGATATTAGAAGAAATACTTCAAAGTGATCCATATGAATTGAAAGTTACCTTCACATTGATGTATACACGATGTTGTTAGTTGTCTACCAAGTTCCTCATTACAACAATATCATCAATAACTGCTTTAGTTTCTACAGAAAATTAGTTTTAGTCATTTATACACTTCTGTTTCAGAGTACCACAGCATTTTCTTGAGAAACCTCACAGAATACGTATGATGACTGAGAACATATTGATCAAATACTATGAGTTCTTATCTTTACTTGGAAGTTGGATAGATTTCACTTCTTCTCTATATTATTATATCGAGAAGAAGTACATATAAGAATATGACCTTAATGATCCGTTAAACAAATTTTTTTTTTGCTATTCCTGTTTTTGCAGAACTCGATGGAAACGTTGAACAACACCACCAGAGATATCGTACACGATTTTGTAGATTGATTGTTGTCACATAGAGCTAGCTAATTGTTTTAACTAAAAAAATTTAATTTCCGAGGATACTTATTACTTTCTCAGTATCGGCCTAGTTTTAGCAGTACAAACCTGACCTAAAAAGAATCTCTCACTTCTTGTTCTTTTGGTCCTTGAGTTGTCTCTCCAGAGTTCTGATTCTCTGATTCAGAACTGAACTCCGTGAGATTCTTCTATCTGGAACACTTGAAGATGACTCGGAGGAGCACATAGGAGGTTTTTCTTGAGTAACACTTTGGTCTTTTGGTTCAGAGAAGGAAAATGGCAAAGGCGACGACGAAGACGGTGATGGCTGCTTAGTAGAAGAGTTGACAACATCTGGGAGATTCAAGAGCTTCCTCACATCTGGACGTCTTAATGCTGCATATATATACAAACAAGAAAAGATACAAGTCAAAACTCTTTTAAGGTTTTCAAATCTCATGTCTCAAAGAGTAAGAACATTGTTCAGGAGACTTACTTAAGCCATACACAAGAGTAAACAAGTTGGAAGTAAGCCAGTAACAAAACAATGCCTGCAGACAACAATCATTCGTTTGTGGTAAGCAAAATGTAATTTTCTTACGTTTGCAATGCTTATCAACACCAAAGAGTCAATAGAGGAACAGGAGGCTTTACCTTTTCAATGCCTATCAAAACTGGAATAGAAAGGAAGGCAATGATCCTAGAGAATTTCTTCATAGTTCCAGCTACTGGATTGCCTTCAAGACCTTCCTGCATGTTTGACTATTGGAAAAAGAAACACGACTTGCCTTAGATAAAAATTAGTCATGAGACAACCAAAAGTGAAAGAGATGAATCTGTGAAAAAAGTTACCATTTTAAGTAAGATTTAGAGGTTATATCCCATTATATAACACTGATTTTTTAAAGCTCAGCTTATCAACTAATTTTCTATGAATGAAATAATAAAGATCCCATCTGAATTCAATAGCTCAAAAAGGATGCAGATAGAGTATCAGCACATAGATCTTAGATTGAATAAGTCAACAAGAAAGCAAATACAAAGCTCTTACCTCCACCATAATCAAGAAAGTCACTGCGGTGAGAAGTGGCAAGATATATGTAGTATCTCCAGTGGTGAGGTCAGTAAACCAAAGAGTTCCCCCGGTTTTAAATGATGGGACCTTCTCCGCCATATTCCTGATCTGTAGACAAACATCAGTGAACACATAGCAATAATAATCAGAAACAGCAAAAAGACTAAAGTATATAAATATATAAAAGTCTTACCGCAAAGAAAAAGCTTATGAAAATGGGACCTTGAATAATAAGTCCTTTGAGAGGCGTAAATGGAGTTACTCCATGTCTAAGCAAATTCACGAAACAGTGGAGCCATATCAGTGAATGAGGGACTAGTAGTACCTATAACTTGAAGAAAAATTAAGATGGACTTACTCTTTAAACAATAATTGCATCCGTCTTTGACCTTCTGCCATGGCTTCAGGATCCTGAGCCTAAAATTCATTATAACACATGCAAATGTCTTAACCACAACACTTTAGAAACCTACTCAATATCAGAATAAAATTCAGACAGCGTTAATTAGAAAAGCTAGCTGGAACTTCATCAAACAGAAAACACATAGCTACTCAGTCAAGATTATAGTTCACATGTGATAATTAGAAAAGCCTTATGGAATCATCCAGTTACTAACTACGACAAAATGAGATTATTTTATATGTTAAACCAGAAGGAATTTTCATGGAATTGAACAGTGTCGAAATCACAAACTTTCACGTGCACACAAAGAACAAGTAAGAAAAGGAACAGGAACAACTTGTACCTTAGTGCTCATCTCTCGTCTTAGCTCCTCTAGTTGAGGCCTCAGAACCTGCAAGAACATGATAGATAAATTACAAATAGAAAAAGAGGCAAACCCTAGCGACTGAAAATTGCAATCACAGAACAAAAATCTAAAACTGACATTGAGTTTGTAAGTCGCCTTTAATTGATTTAGAAGAATGGGAACTGTAACTCCACGAATGATAACAGTTGTCAAAGCTATTGAAGCCCACCTGCCAGAAAAATTGAAAACAATTTTACCACTGAGCCTCTGATACTTAAGAACAGAACCGAATCAAATGAACATAAAAACTGTGTATATACCAATTCAGGCCCGTAAACGAATGCACACCATCAATCAAATGCTGCAAAGCAGCAACGGGAAAAGCAGAATCCGCAGCAGCAATAGCAACCTCATTAATAGCAGGAGCAGCTTGGCTTGTCATAGTTACAGCTTCAACGATTTCATCGGGAACAACTTCCGTGGCCGCAAAGTCAATACCATCAACTTTTTCAGACCATTCCGGTGGTGTAGAACTCATATACCGACAAGAAGATAATCCAAGACCCAATGGCCCAGCAAATGACTGATAATGCCTTGCCTCAAAGCTAGAGCTAAGCTTGCTAGTAGTAGCATTACGTGCTAAGACTTTACGAAACATTGTATCAGAACTCGAAGAAGTGGATCTAGTGTCATCTCTATCATCAGGAATTAGATGACCACACGATGGATAAGCTCGTCTCTGTAAAACATTAACTCTCTTGGTGATACCACGCAAGCAAGCCATAGCGAAGATCCTGCTCTCTCACTCACTGAATAGAACATTCGAACCGAAACCAGTTTAATAACTTGTTTCTTAGTACAGAATCAAACCAATTGACAAAAAAAAAAAATAGCAATTCCTACTTTGCTAGCTACAGATAAGGATCCATTTCTACACTTGCACTTCAAATTTCACAGCACAACGAAGACGTGAGGGACTGAAATATTCAAATTACCTGATTGAAAATTCAAGGTTGTTAAAAATCACAGCAGCATTCGCAGTTCGGCTGCTTGAGTCGACTTGTAGTCAGTCTTAGGGCTTAAAAACCTGAGAGAGATCGTCGCTCTCTACCTGACGACGACCATGGCTAGCAAAACGCACCACTTCATCTACCACACGGAAAACGAAGTGATTCTAAACCGCGCCGTATCATCTATCTTAATGGGCCTTTAAACTTTTCTAATGATTAGGCTTTATAGGCCCAATTAAGGGTCCCTAATAGTAATAATATATAGCCTAGCTATCTAAAAATGGCAAGTAGTGCACAAAAGTGGTGGAAAGGAGAGTACGTTGGGTCTCTAATAACATGTAGGTTGTAAGAGAGGGAATGGGAAGCGATCAATCTTCACTTCCTTCTCTATGTACGTAGTACTCCCTTTACTAATACATTATGTAATCACTGACGATAACTAAAGAGTTTGGGTGCTTTTCTACTTTCTTCATTTTTCCTTTTTTTTTTTTTTTTTTTGTTAATTCTACTTTAACTCTTTATAACAGTTAATTCTATGCTTGGGTGTTTTGCACATATTTTCTAGATAACTCATTCGTGCAAGTCAGATAACCCAAAAGAAAATTCATGCGTGTTCGCATATTTTGTTTCTCACCCAAATTTTTATAAAATTGAAGGATTGACTCTTTCTAATGATAAAACTAAACGTTAATCATACTCGTAAAGGTTAAAGAACAAAGGAATCAGAAAAGTCAAACTAAAAAAAAAAAAAACGTACGCACTTCACAGTTGTATACATTTACTGTATATGAAAATAAAATAGATCTGTTGTTTTGTTTTTCTGGACAAGAAAGAACAAACTAAATGGAAGAAGAAAACCCTAATTCGATATTTCGATGTATATCAGTGCCGATGTACTTGAAGACTTACTCCTGAGGCTTCCCCTGAAATCTCTGTGCAGATTCAAAAGTGTATCGAAAGAATGGAAATCAATACTGGAGTCTAAGAGTTATTTTTGCAAATCCCCTACTTTTAATTAATTATTCAATGAACTTGAAAAAATATATGATATTTTGTTTATAATAATGCAGTTTTTCACGTCCTTCTCTATGTAGTGAGAGTCAATTTCCTTTCAAAAACATACTATGCTTCATCCTTGGGAAACTCAGGATCCGCTGGTTTGTGAGGTACCGGAGAGCTGGAAAAATCTGTTGTATTTTCCCATCGATTTTGTAAAGTTTTGGACACAAATCGCGACACATAGAGAGTTGCTCCAAGGCTGAGTTGTGGAGTTCGCAGATTTTTATTTTCAGAGGGTAAGAGCTTACAAAGCTTCCTTTTACAATGTTCCCTCCATGCTGCTTGTATGAAGCATGTTGCCCATGTTCGCCATTGCATTGAGTAGTACCTGAAACCAAAACAAAAAGGAAAAATTTGAGGCCATGTGGTTTGTTTAAGATTGTCAAAGAAGTCCATCAGCATCTACTTTGGTTTCTAAGCCTTACCTGAGCATGTGTTTGAATTTCATGCTTTGAAAGCGACTGATATGAGAAGCTACAAACTTGACATCATCAGGCAAAAGAATGAAGCCTTCAACATCAGTATGAGTCATTACGGTTCTGTCTGAGGTGGGAAGGCTGGACGAAGGATGTGGGTCAAGTATCCAAAATAGAAGTTCTCCACATATGTCACCTGCTCCGAGGGAAGAACAGTTGTAGTTGTCGTCTATTACACGAGATCCGGTTGTACTTTTCAGTACTCCTTTTGTTACAATAAGCATTTCATCCACCGGATCACCCTCTTTCACTATGTAGCTGTTGGCCGAGTAAAACACAGACTTAACCCGATCGCACAATGCTTCTAGTAGCCATCCATCATCCATCATGTTGAGCCAAGAAACCTGACAAGTTAAAATACTATATCTACATGAACCTCAGAGATAGACGGATCAATGACAAAAAGGGGAGCTTACACGGTTCAACAGTTTCAGGTAAAGATGACGTTTGGTTTCGAGTCTGAGGTCTTTTGGAAGGCTACGAAGTTGAGCTTCCTCTTCTATGCCTCTGGTTTCTCGCCATTTGTAATCCTCATATCTCCTAATGCGTTCCTTCAGATAGTCTGGTAGCACCCGATAGGACATCCATTTTTCAGTGTCTCTCTTTTTCTCCTCCATTTCATCTACTCTAATCGTAGTTGATTGCAAGTACTTCTGTTAATTATATATATGATATCATTATTTATATCAACAAAAGAATCAGTTTTACGAGATCAAAATTAATATAGTTTCAAAGGTAGGAACATTGCCTGAACGTTTCCAATGAGCACAGCAAACAAGAGTAATCCAGAGACGCATATGATGATAGCAAAGAAGATCTCCCCGACAAAGTTGCTTGTCTCAAGGTTTTGGCCCAAAGCACTGACATGTTAAAGAGCGGGTTAAGCTATGACAGGATGGATTTCTCTTCTTCAAAGCATAAATTTTACATGTACAAACCTAATATTTCGTAGACCCCACCAAAAGCAGTAGAAGAACTTCCTCGGAAAATCTCCTGGCTCTACATCTACCACCCCAGACTTCAATGCATCAATGTACATACCAAAGTTGAAGACCGTGGAGTTTGTGATTTGGTCAGGCTCGATTAATGGGCATGAAGTGTTGAGAAAACGGCTATTGTCTCTGCCACCTCCTCGAGCACAAAACAGACTCGTGAGATCGCATCCGGAGGTCGTAGCACAAGCTTCACTCCAACATTCTATTTTCTTTTCTATTGCATTCACGTACCAGAAAGCCCCAAACACCTGGCCATATATATCATCACAAATTTTTTTGCTACTAAGTGTAAGTGTATAACAAAAGGATGGCAGTGTGGGATTGTGAGAGCACTATATAGTAGCTTAGACTTACATAACTGTTGAGCATGTAGAGGAAAAAGTTTAAAGCAGCCCCAATCCATTTTGTTTCTACAACGGTACCAGAGGCTCTTGTTACTTCTTTGAAAAGTGGATAGATGCGAATGATTCTCGGTAGATATTGACAAACTATGATCCATTTTAGTATTTTCTTTGACACCAGCGAGGCTGATCGTTGAATGAGAGCGATAATTACTACCTACAAGATTTTGCAGTTACACATCTGCAGTAATTTAAATAAATAAATAAAAAAATGGTACAATGGAAAAGTAGATGTGTCATAAAAGAAGAAAAAGATGAACAGACCTGAGGAATTGGGAGAACTGATAAAATGTCAATAATGAAGTGAAAGAGAAGGCGATTTTTCCTTACGGCCTTAGATTGCACAGTTAACTCACCTCTTAAAGATATTAGAGGACGAGGAGCAAGGAGGTCGGTTATAAATTGAAAAATAATGTGAAACACATAGAATGTGTCAATGAAGGTACGAAGGACACAAACTGCTACTCCAAGATTCTTGTCAAAAGTGAAGCAAGATCTATGAGAACTAATCACGGGGATAAAGAGAAACAAAGGGTCAATAGCCAAAGCAGCCACACAAACTAACAGGATGGTCTTCCTCCAGTTTTCAAGTGTTTTCATGTTCCCATAAACCTTCTTTAAGCGTCTTCTAACACTCTTGAAATTCCCATTTACTACAAGTAGCATGGTTGAAGATCTCCCCATACTCCCAGTATCAAACCTGTATCAACAAGACGATACCCTTTCCTTACTTACTACGGCAAACATATAAGGAAAAAAAAAAATTAAACAAGTCGATCAAGATTCATAGAAGCCTGCACCTCACAAATTTACTCCTCTGATGATACATGTATAGTATCTTCCTCTGTTCAATCTGCAATATTTTGTTCAAAGAAGAAAAAACTGAAGTCCACTAGCTAGGTCGTCTCTCACTCTCTACCTAAATATTTGGATTCCATGGAAACAAGAACTTAATTAGAAACATAATAAAACCAACTAAATCGGATACATGGAGAGACTGAGACCCCTAACTCGATTGATTTCTATCAGAGGGAGAGGGAGAGCGAAAAACAAACGTCAAAAAGGGAAGAATTGTGGGAAAATCAATGTTCCCAACTCTTAAACACAGCTTCTCCGAAGACTCGAAAAGCAGTAGGAGGAGGCCGTAGATGTTTCGACATCTCTTTGAAAGTTTAAACAGACGACTTTTTTTTTCCCACTAGAAAAGTCAATCAGTCAACCGTGAGGCCGTCACCTACCGATGAATAAATGATCTCTCGGTTTTTTCCCTGCAAATACAAACTTCTTTTTCGTTCCGGTTGAGTTTTTCGACGATACTGTCGGTTCGGTTTTGTAAAGTAAACTCTCCGGTTCAGCTTGGTTGTTTTTAAATACTGTAACAACTAACAACTGTAATTATTAAATTTTGTCTTTTACAATTAAAATAAAAAAAAATACTGTAACAGCCGTAGGTGGATGTCAATTACCGCTTTTCTGGCTAATGTACTGAATCTACTGATGTTGCCAATCTCTATATGCGAGACATGCTTAGTTTCTTGTACTTTCTCATTGAATTGAGTTTTTATCCTGATTGTTTCCTAAATTTTGCTGCTTTTGAACTAGATTTTGTCTAGTAATATTCAGAAAGTGAAGAGAATTCAAAAGATACGGATAACAATCATGGCTAAGGAAATCTCTGATCTTTCAACTTCAGACAGCCTATACATCTTGTCTTTACTTGCAGCCTTCACTTTCTGGTTCTCATCAGAGGCTTAAGGGATTTTTGTAATATAACAGATTGTTGGAAAGTAAATCTTTAATTTATTTGCAATATTTTATTATTCCTTCACAATAATATTAAACTGATCCAATTGATTTCCTAACCATGGCTAAATTTTATGTCACCGGTTTTGGTGGATCTATTTATACGGTAATTCTAGAAATTTAATCCAATCCTAATCTTTCTCACGTTTTATATCACAAATCTCGTGGACTAGCTTGCATTATAATCTATATGCATATAATGTAGTTTTTATTTTAACTACCGAATTAAACAACACTTTAAATGGGAACTTTAGATGAATAGTTTAAACCATACAAGAAAAAAACATATTATTCAAATGCAAACCAAATAAGTGAATAACCAATGGAAAGTATGAAAACATTGACTTTAAAATATCATAATGAACGTGAACAAAGAGAAGAATTTACATTTATCTAACATATTGTACAAATAATACACCACAATGCAATATCGTTATCTCTTAATTATTGTTTCTATTTTAAATAATACTTTATCCGTTGTACAATAGATGATCTTCTAAACAAATGCACACATATTAAGAAATCATTTAGTTTTTGCTATTTGGAGAATGAAATTCTACATATTATTCATTTTAACGTGTAATATTTTGTATTGCCACCTTATGCATGATGAAGAGGACACCATGCAGTGCATGGGAAAATTCTTCCTCCTTCATTGGGTGTCATACTACACAAACTGGGAATACAAGGTAATGTTAATTGAAACTTTGGAATACTAATTTAATTGTTTTGTTTATCTCTATATCTTCTCTATGTAGGTTGAACTAGTAATATTACAATTCAAACTTGTTATGACAGTAAGATTCAATTTTGTTACGGTAGCAAGTATAGTTTAGTTATGTTTTCGATAATTTCATTTTATGATCTCATTTTGTTGATTTATTTATTTATTACTTTTTTTTTAATTCTGTCTTCTATATTAGCACTGGTTGTCACGGTCCTTTCACTAACATTATTAATATTGCGGCGTATTCAACGAATTTTTAGATTTCCCCGCTGGTAATTTTTAAAAGATCTTTATATTGTATAATTTGTATTTAAGATATATACTGACCACTAAGAGCATCCTTAATGTTGAAATTTAAATTAAATCAATAAACATGCTTAATTAGTAAGATACTATATCTTACCCACTGATTTATATCTTGTATAAGATATGGTATCTTACTAATTAAGCATGTTTATTGATTTAATTTAAATCTAAATTTACCTAATATGTCACTTAAGATATCATTAAGGATGCTCTAAGTAAATTATTGATGTTGGCAGGGTTTAGCACATGACTGGCTTATAGCACATGTTGGAAGGAGGATCTGTTGGATTTTGATACTTAAATATTTTTTCATTTTCTTTCGCAATGGGACTGTTTCTTTCATCTGATATATGTTTAGGGATTATAAGAAAATAAATGTGTTTCAAAAAAAAAAAAAAATAAATAAAGGAACCACTATTCATGATGATATTTGATAACTCTTTCGAGTCAACAAAACAAAGCTATTTAGTATTTATTACACAGCTCTTACCTCTACTGTAGTCACTGCGGTGAGAAGTGTTTGTTGTAATTCGGTTTAAAAACAAAGATTGTCCGGTTTATGAATAAAATTTACTTTTAATTTTCTTTGGTCCGATTCAATAATAATATTCAGTCCTACCACTACTAAATTTGATGTATCAACATTGTTATAGTTTGATTCAAAGCATCATTGTCCCCCAACAGATACAATAAGTATAAGAAAATTTTTACTGACGATTTTATACAAACACAGTTACGTAATTGTATAAAGCATCACTAGCGCGATCACATTGCATAGAGCTCTTTGGCCTATTCTATATGTTAATCCAATTAGCTTTCATCCATAGGAAACTCAGGATCGGCTGGTTTCTGAGGCAACAAAGATAGCATATGAGGAAATCTAGAATTGCGTGCTGCTGCATTTGCCCTTAGGTTCCTCAGAGCATGAGAAGCAAATCTCGACGCATAAATTGCAGCACCTAAGTTAAGTTTATTGCCACATCCTGAATCAGCATCGTTCTGTAAAGTGTTATGTAGCTTGCCTTCTTCTTCACGTAAAGCCTTTGAGAGCTTCCTTCTACAATGTCTTTTCCATGCTGCTTGTATAAAACACGCTGCCCATGTCTGCCATTGCACCGAATAATACCTACAGGAAAAAAGAAAGTTGTTTAGGTTAATAGTAAAATCTTGAGGAACAAGTTACAAGGTAGCTAGGTTATGAATCTCTAGGGTTGAAGGGTAACTTGAGAAACTATAGGACTAAAGGAGATCAAAACAGTAAATCCAACACATTCAATCACACACGTATGATTAACTCAGCATGCAATTTTTTTCAATTGAAAATCTTACCTGAACATTTGTCGGATTTGCTTGCTATGGAGGCGACGATACTGAGTAGCGACAAACTTGAGATCATCAGCTGAGAGAACAAAGCCTTCGACTTCTGTCTTAGCTTGAACGGTTCTACTAGAGATAGGTAAGTGGGAACTGAGAGGATCTAATGCCCAAGTGAGAAGATCTCCACAGAAATCACCAGCAACTAAGGTAACCGAATTGAAAAAACCAGTTCTGCCACCATAAGTCGTCGCGCTTATTAGATTTCCTCTCATTATAAACAACATATCTTCCACTGGTTCACCTTCACGCACGATGTAACTGTTCTCTGTGTAAAGAACCGTTTTGAGACGATCACATAAAGCATCTAGTAATCGATCGTCCATAGCTTGAAACCAAGATACCTGTCACATCAACAAATCATGAATACAAAATTGAATTCAAGTTTCAAGAGCAGTTGGTTAAGTTTGATTACCTTTTTGAGCAATTTGAGACAAAGATGGCGTTTAATGTCCTTTCTGAGATCTTTTGGGAGACTAGAGAGAAGAGCTTCTTCCTCAACACCTTTGGTCTCTTGCCATTTATACTGCTCGTATTTACGGATACGATCTTTCAGATCGTCTGGCAACATACGATGAGACATCCATTGCTCTGCATCTCTCCTTTTTACTCTCATTTCCTCAACTCTTACCGTAGTTGATTGCAAATATTTCTACAGAAACCATAGAATCTTTAACAAACATATATATATAGATTCCTTGTGTTAAGAGCTTGAGCTCAAAGAAGAGAGATAAGTAAATTACCTGCATATTTCCAATGAGTAGAGCAAACAAGACTAGTCCAGAGACACAAATGATAATGGCAAAAATGATCTCCCCTTCAAAGGTACTCGTCTTCAAGTTTTGTCCCAAAGCACTAATAGATGCATAAATTAAAGATCATCTATAACAAAAAAGTAAGTAAAGAGTTTAGATGATACAAAAAGTACCTAAGATTGCGGAGACCCCACCAGAAACAATAGGAAAACTTCTTGGGGAAATCTCTTGTCTCCACAATTCTAGACTGCAACGCATCAGCGAATATACCAAAGTTGAAAATGGTCGGGTCTTTTATTTCTTCTGGATCGATCACGTTACATGAACCGTTTAAAAACAGATGATTGTTTTCCCCTGTTGGTTTACAGTATAATAATGCATGAATGCATCCCTCTCTCTCTTTCTCTTTACACGCTTCACGCCAACATCTATCTTTTCTTTCTATCGAAATCAAGTACCAAAAAGACCCAAACACCTGCCCAGTTTTAGTAATTTGTATGACCGTTATTTCCACCCCAAAAAGACATTATAAAGTTGAGTAATGATCAAAGAAAGCATAGAAAATACTCTGTTTCATACATGGCTAGCTAACATGTAGAGGAATAGGTTTAACGCAGCCCCAGCCCAAGCAGTTTCAGTAACCAAACCAGAAGTTCTTGTTACTTCTTTCGAAAGCGGATAGATCCGTGCTATCCTCGGAATATATTGGCAAAATATTACCCATTTCAACATCTCTTTTGCTACCAGCGAGGATGGTCGTGCCACCTTTGGAACGATAGCTAGAACAACTATCTGTAATTGCAAAGAACATTTTAGATAGTTACAAGATCTTGAAATGCAGATTTGAGGAAACATTACTTTACCTGCGGAATAGGCAGGATCGAAAGAAGATCGATTAAGAAGTATGAGCGGAGGTATCTTAAGGCGATATCTTTAGAATTCACATTAAGCTCTCCTCTACCGAAACCACGAGAAGCAGGAGTGATGAAACCTGTATGAAACTGAAACAGCATGTGAACAACATAGAAAGCGTCGATGAAAGTGCGGAAAACGCAAGCGATTGTCTGGAGTTTATCGTCTAGGCTAAGACAGAATTTGTCGGGATTCACCACGGGGATATAGAAAAACAGAGGATCAAAGGCTAAAGCAACAACAGAGAGAAGCAAGAAGATCTTGTTCCAGTTTTGAAGATAAGAGTCGTTTGGATTCATCACTCTTATTAGTATCTTCTTCTTGTTTTCTTTATTATTCTTCCGTGGACGAAGACGAAAGCTCAACGGCTGCTTAAAGTTTCTGATTTTCTCTGAGCCCTTTTCGAAGCTTCGTCTAACGGTTCTCATGACTGAAGTTACTGATGGTCTAGTACTAGTGTTGTCGGTAGAATACGCATCATTTTTCTTCAACCTATATCAAATATTAAAATTAAGATCAAGATCACTTCATAAACTCTTAAATGTCAACCAGATAATCAAACTAAAAAGGAGAGAGATGATACAAACCTTACGAATTTGTTTCTTCGGGGATTCATCATCTCTATCATCTCTGCTTGTTTTCTTATACAGATTCTTGAACCTGCGGGTAAGAAAAGGAAATAGAATCGATACTAGTATTGTTGTTTACCGAAGAAGAACAGCTGACAAAACAGAGTAATTTGACGAAACAGAGTAATTTTTGAAAACACAATAGTTGAAGTAGAAAGAAGTTGCGAAATGAAGACCAAAGATATAAAGATGAAAACCTTGATTTGAGACAAGGATCTTTACTACACAAGTGAACCAAGGTTTTTATTTCCCAGAACAGAAATTGAGCTTCAAAAGTCTTTACCAAGGAAACAATCAAAAAAGGAAACAAAACTTAAACTGATTCCTGAAATAGGATGAAGAAAAAGAGAGAGAGAGTTTGAAGATAATGATGTTCTAATTTAGGCGAACGTAGTAATATGACTACTTTGGATCGATGCACTTATTATACATTGAAAACGAACAAGTGAAGAACAAACAAGTCTGAAACACAGGACAAGACAAGTATTATCATGAACAATAATAATAATTTTAGTGAGAAAAAAAAGAGAGAGATAGAGTTGACTTTTGACGAAGACTGAGTCAGTCAACTCAAAAAACCTACAATTCCAAGTTTGGTTATTTTCTTTGAGACGAATGAAATATCAAATATGAAAAGTACGTATTCCTAATTTGATAGCAAATTCCATGCTATTTATAGGTGATTTACATATAAATGTTCGGATACAAGTAATTATTAATGTTTGGATGTACAGAAGACACAACGTGATGTATCCATTAATATTTCGGATGTACCAACAAAACACTCTCACGAGTCATGATGGATGATTCGCCACTCTCTAAATATTTACGACATCAGATATTTTCTTGTATTTTGCGTTTACGGTTTAGTTACTTTAGTCATGGTGTCGAGAACACTTGTATCTGAAATCCTGAATCCACAATTGTTGATTGGTCTATTAAATACTGTTATGTCAAGAAAAAAAACAAATCAATGATTTATTCTAATTCAAGTAGTAAATTTTAAATTCCTCGTTTGGAGTATTAATGTGACTTTTAGACGTTTCCCGGGTACGTCATACTCCTCCACAAAAGTTATCAATCAATTTCCTTCAATAATTTATAGCTTTCTCTATAATCAGCAGAATATGTAGAAGAAGAAGAAGAAAACTATAATTTAACAAGAAGATAGATTATTGGAAGATATTATACAATGATATGGTGAATGGGTCTCTCTACAGTCTTGCAGGTTCCCAAGTTAAAGGTGTACAATAATAAACTGCACTAACCGATTAATCTAAGTTCTATCTCTCATTAACATTAGAAGATGGAAATAAAAATAAAAGAGATGATGAAAACCCTGAAATCCCGTTTGGGAGGTTTTCTCTAATATAGCGGAACGCAGAAACCTTACTTGCTTCCTAGAGATGATTAACTACCAAAAGCTCTATCAAGACTTGAGAGAGATTTATAGGAATATAGCCTTACATTAAGGCTTGTCTTCTTCTGACTGAGAACATGGAGGTCCTGGCACCGAATCCACAAGGAATTCATCTACCCAGAACAAAGACATTTGTTAGTGATCATAGAACATGAAACTGTTAAACCCTATAAGCAAAGCATGTTTGAAACACTTCATGTTCAAACCTCTCTTATAATAAGACTGATCCATTTAGATGGAGAGTGAGAGTTAGTGTGTTTACCTATGTCGTCTTGTTCGGGAGAATCGAGTAAAAGATCTGAATCCGATGGAAGAAAAGGAGAACCAGGATAGTTTCCTAAGGCCCCTAATTCTGCAAAGTAGTAGTAGATCATTTATCAGAAACATTCACTTGAATGACATGCAACTTTAAAGTTTGGAGCTCGCAATGGCTTTGGATAAAGAAAGTTTACCTCCTAGATTTGACAAATCTGCAGTGAGGTCAGAGAGACTAAAGTTCCAAGGTATCTGATCAAATGGCCTGAGAGGGTCTCTAGAATTTCCAGCTCCTCCATCTGGTTCAAGTTGTAACCCTACTGAAGTTGCGACATCAGATGTGAAAGTAGAATCAAGAGCTGATGTGTCCATTCCCATGCCTGGCATGTCTGAAGCAGCAAATGGAAACTGTCCGCTTGACGCTACAGAAACTGGACTCACTGGCATATCCGAGATACCACTGCTTGGTGGAATCATTGGAGTTGGATCAGCCATGGTTGTATCTATTCCCATACTACACCAAGCACCAGAAACAGCAGTGGGAATTAGTTTTTAAGTCTAAAGCACCAGAAAAAGAAAAATAAAGCATTGATTTGGCAAAAAAATTATAAAGTTAGTTCTTACTCATTCCCTGAGTTCATCCTCATTGGTTGGAAACTAGCAGGTGCAGGGATTCCACTAACCACATGGCAGCTTGAAATTCCACAGCTCATTGGGTCAAGATGGGGATGACCTTGAGCAGACATCTGAGGATGTTGTAGTACTGGGTATCCCATGGGCATGTTGGTCACTGCGCTGCAAACACTTAGTGTTTAATAAGAGAGAAACACAAATAGAACGTTTTGCCAGTGACATAAGGAGTTGAACTTACCAGGTGCCATGAGATGAATTCCATTCCGCATCGGGAACGGGAACGGAGGAACTTTTGAATGTACATTGTACTTCGTGAGCTGATACTGGTGCTCAAGTAAATGGTTGAATACAACTATTTGCCTTTTTAGTTTCAGTCTGATGTAGTATGCCCTGAAAAATTCTGCATTTTCTTCTTCCAATTTCTGCCATACTAAAATCCACAAGAACGTTTTCAGAAAGGGAAAGTTAGTAAACAATGTTACTTTGGTAATGCTTTATTGAATAGAAAAAGTGACCTTACCTAAAGTAGTAAATCCAGGGTCAATCCTTGCACGGGTCAAGAGGGTCTTCACGACCTCATCTCTGTTCATGTACAACTGAAGACATCTTTCTATCAAATTTTGGACCTGCATCAATCATTTCGAATATGGTTTTTTTTTTATCAAATGATAGAAACTTACAAGGACGTATATACAGAGAGAGAGAGGTCAAAGTGTTCTTACAAGTTCAATATCTTGCCTTGAAACTTTCCTACCGTCATTACTTGAGGCAGATACAGAACCAGAATCTTGTATAGGAGCTTCTATTGATTGATTAATTTTCTGTTCACCTTGGGACTCATGTGAAACTTGGGTAGAAGACAGCAACTCCTGTGTGGTCTATAATTCAATAAAAACCTTCATCACTTCTTGGTGAATCTAAAAACATCAATGCTAAAGTAGTATATACTAAAGCAACAGTACAACAAAAAGAAAAGAGTTGGTAGACTGTGTTATGGACGAACCTGTTCGTTCTTCATTAGAGCTGAGTAAAAAACCACGCTTCCTTCAATAACAACTATTCTCCATAACAATGTTCCCAGCAATACAGCTCAACAACATCTGGGCACGCATGTTGACCTAATACAAAAACCTGGATATACATATATTGTTAATTCACCATGTAAGGAAAAAAAATGATTAAAAAAGGCAGCATCTTTGACAGTGCTAATGATAAGCTCTCAAGCAGCATGAAAAGTGAGTCCTTTAAACATTGTTTATTAGGAATCATCAAAGATGACACACTACAGAATCTAAGTAATAATAAATTAATTGATAAAGTTACCATCTTCAAACTATATAAGTTATAAGGGCACACAAAACAAAAATAGTTCATCATCAATCTATTAAAGAAGTTCATAAAAAGAATCAGTACGATGAACTATTGGAAGATAAGTAAATCTCAAGTAATCCAAAACAGAACATGGTCCTGTCTGCATCCAAATCAAACAAGAATCTACAGTCAAATGTAAAAATAAATGAACCTAACTCCAGAAATCGAACAGATCTAGGCAAAGAGTTCCAGATTAAGCTGATTCTCTCGAGGTTTAGTTCATTTAACACAAAGTCATAATCTCAAGTTCAAAAAGAGCTCCCCCTACAGAATTCTAAGCCGAGAAAAGCAAGAGGAACAATTACATGAGATGGTGGGTGATAGAAAGCTATAAAGAACAGATTTTTACTCTAATCTAGTAAGATAAAAGAGAATGTAAACGAGCAAGATCATGATGGAGAAGATCCAAGTTGTCTCACCTCAAAATTCAAGCTAATCCAAAATGCTACACTCTTCCAACACAGGTTTTGTCGACGAATTTTTCGGAGACTCTAAGATTCAGTCAGAAGCAGTACAAAACAACACGAATTTTTCAAGTAGACAAGTTTGGATTTTTTTTTTATAGAAAAAAACGACGCAAACTCTGCGGAAGAAGAAGCGTCGGAGAAGTTCGTGCAAGCAAGATCCGGCGATTTTTGTTTTTTTTGTAGGAGTTAGCAAGAGATTTAGCTACGCCATTACAGATAAGGAACTTGAAATTGAAGCTTAAAAAAAGAAAAAGATTGGAGGAAGCAAGTTAAGAAGAAGCAGTGGAGACGGAGACGTCCGCTTGGGAAGGGAGAAAATAGAATCTCACTCATCAGAGACAACATTTATATATATGCGAAACACTGCTCTCTCTTTTTCCCTTTTTTTTTATTGGCTTTAATAAATGTTTGTATGTGTTAAAAATTAAATACCAGAGTTTAGTTTAATTGCAATTTTGATTTTGATTTTTTTTTTCCTTCTTTTACTACTTAAGTAACGGTTCGTCAATTAATAGAAAAGATAATGTACTTTTTTATCATTTAATAGAGAGTTTTGGAATTATTTAAGCCAATACAGGGAATGTTTTGATATGGGAATTGAAGTTTTCCAATTATACAACAAAACTTATTCACAGTGTGGCATCATAACAGCTAGTGAGAAAGCTAATGCCAAGTTGTTGAGTGTTAAACTTAAGAGAGATGGCATGGACCTCTTCCACTGTACTCTCTCAGACTCTCCCGGAATAGTATCTCTTTTTTTTTTCTTTTCTTGTTTAGTTTATATATTACACTTTCCATCAGGACCACCTTTTTACTTTTCTTTTCATTCTGTTTCTGTAACAACATGAGCTAGTCCGGAGCAAAAATAAGTATCTCATATCATACAACATCTCATGATTTAAGAGCTTTTTTTTATTTCCTATTTCTATAACTTGTTTTCAAACTATACACAGACTCATGTTTGCATAATCATGTTATATATAAATTATATATGTACTTTTAGAAGTTTCTGTGATTTTATATTTAAAAATCAATCGGTTTATTAAATCCGATAGCAAAGATGAACAAACACAAATTCATATTTAATTATTTGTCGTGATTTTATGTTGAAAAACCTATCGAATTCTATTATCGTTATCAATAAATTATAATTATTAATTATTTGTCGTAATTTTAAGTTGGAAGATCGATCGAGTTCCATTTTCGTTATTTAACGATCGAAACCAATTGTCGTTATAAATAAATGTCGACAACTAATATTTAACTATTTTCGTGACTTTAAGGTTGGAAGATCAATCAAGACCAGTTGCTTTTATGAATAACTAACAATGTCTAATTACAAAAAATTATCGTAAATATTTTGCATATATGTTTTATTCTGTTTTTGGAATATAAAATAAAAATTTTAATTTTTAAAAGTTAGATTTAGTTATATATCTATATAGTTTTAAATATCTTATAATTTTAGAGTCTTATACAACTTGTTGCACATAAAAAAAAAGTCTTATACAATTTTTCATAATAATTTTCATGTTTTCATGCTTATCAATTTGTAAAATTCTCTGTACATGTATATTGTTTTCCTCTAAAGTTAAGATCTTTTTCTTTTTATTTTTGGTCAACTCTAAACTTAAGATCTTCAGCTATACCTTTGTCATTATTATTTCCATTTTTTCTTTCAATTATTCCTCTTTTCACTATTATTGGTTAATTTACAAAAATGACTATTTTTCTTTATTTGGAGCCTATACCACAGTATCATTTAGCTCTAGTTTATAGCCGACGTACTTAAAATGAACTCACACGAGGAGCTTATTACAAAATAATTGAAAGCATATATAGTGACAAAATAATCTTGAACATAACACTTTACCAATGATTTGATTTTTATATATATATTTTTTTAAAAGATTCTAGATGTTAAACTAGTTTATTTACTATGGCCGTTTCTATAGAGAAATTTGTGTTTCCAACACACTCGATTACTATTTGATTTTTTTTTTTTTTCTGTTTTCTTTTTACAAAGAAAGGCGTTACGAACGTTACTTAGGAAGAAGAACTCTGATGGCTTTGCAACTTTGTAATAATCACCAATAATACAAGTTGGTATTAATTGCTTTTTGGCATTTATATTACAAATGAAAATGAATGATTCAGTCTAATAATGTACTACTTACGTAACTGAAGCCGGCTCACAAGTCACAAGCCGTCACGAACCACGCACTAGACCACGTGAACCCATCTGTGACTTCTTTAATAAGAGAAACTACGCATGGTCAAGACAAAATTAAAAAAATAATAATAAGAGAAACGCATGAATTTAATGAAACAGACACATTCTCTCATTAATCCATACGCTTTAGTTCCCTTTAATCCATCGGACCCACCACCACTATTCAAAAGTCCTTCAAACAAAAAAACCAAAAAAAAAGTTCGTGACGACAAAGTTTTTTTTTTTGCCTGAAGTAAGTATCCAATACGAACACGACACGTGTGATAATCACCGGAGAAAATAACGTCGGGAAACAGACCGCCGCGTGGCGCACAGATGCTGACAAAGGCGGACGAGAGCGGTCATAGACACGTGGCGTTAAAAGAGAGGAGGAGCGTGGAGGGTGCTCGACCATTTATCACCTTGGAATTTGAGAATTTTCCTAAAACCAAATTCCTTGTTAACGCTTATAACCACGTAACTAGTTGTTAAACCGATCAAATTAATCTGTAATTAAAAGAGTTGATTGATTGATAAACTTTTTGTGTCGATGCACGGTGTCGTATTGCTTCGATGTGCGTGTTTATATATGATACAATCTGTAGTATCTGTTTATAGAATGAGACATGCATGAGCCTTATACCAAATGGGCTCAACAGCTCAGGCAGATCGGTAACACTTTAGAGCAATCCATAGGTGATAGGCCCATGAAGTAACATTTGATCATTTCGGAAAACCCATCTAACAACATGACCATATGCTATAATGTATATCTATCAAATAAACGTACATACACATCACAGCTTTTAACATTTGATCAAATTGATAATAAAGATACGTGTTACATACACATAACACATCACAGCTTTGTCATGTTCAAGATGGTCGATCGAGAGCTTCCCATCGTTCAAGAAGAGATCAGATGCACTGGGAACGAGAGAGCTAATGCTTAAATTTTCACTAAATATTTCTCAACTCTATTGTAGTCTTGTTTTTTTTTTATGATATTTACATATTTAGCAACAGAAAAAGAACAAAAAAAGTGTGTTTCTAAAAAACGACCGAAATATTAAGTAGAGCAGCTATACATCTTGGTACTGGCAGATCTTAAAAAAACATAAATAAACAAACAGATATATATAAAAATGAAAAGGGTTAATATCATAAAGTATAGTTCAAAGTCCTAGTTAGTTATTTAAATAGCTGTAACCACCTCATGTACTCTCAATAAATAATTGTTGTTAGATACTTGTCTGATTCATGCCTTCCGAGTCAAGGCTTTGTTTTGTATATAGAACAAACAAATGTGCTTTTTGTTTGCGCTCTTCGTCTCACTCAATTTGCTCTCTAAAATTCCATAAGTGATAGTATATATATAAAACCTTGAAAGATGACCGGGGCGGTATCGAGATGTGCGGTTAAAGCATATTTGTAATCAGAAAAAGAAAAATCAATGAAGGAAATTACGGACCAGTATAGTAGAGACTAGAGACGCACACAACCATAAGGGTGTTGTGCCCAATTTTGACGACATTACCATCAGACAGACCAAAGGAATATATGAAAGATACATAAGAGATATCTTGTTCTTCTTCTTCTTCTCTCGAACTAACTAACTAGTAATATACTTCTTATTATTTCTTTTTTTTTTTTTTTTAACTTCTCTTCTACCCATTTCTATTTACTATCTCTTACTAACTAGAGTATTATAAATACTCCTTCTACCAAACTTTCCTCTTATATCAAACTTTCAAAACACCATATGAAATTTATATCTGTCTTTCTTTCTTTTCTTTTTTCTTTTCTTTTTTTTTGTTTCGCTTTGCAACAAATATCACTTGAGTTATTATTGATTTTTCTTTTTTTTTTCTTTCGTGAAGTATATATATAAAAAGTAGGGACAATTTTGTAATTTCAAAAGTCAAAGCCAGAGAGAGGAGAAGCTCTCCTACCTCCAACTGTCTGTAAACGAGGAAATTTACAACCGCAAGTCAAAGGTTACTTAATAAAAGAAAAATAATAATAATAGAAGTGTTGGAGTTATGGTTGTATCTGTCGTTCTTCATTTTGTAATGAACAAAGGCCGTTGAAGCAAACACAGAAGACACAAGTGAGCTACAGTCTACAGATTCGTTTTCTTCTCATCTCTATCGAACGAACTTATATAATTATTATTTAGTGTATTTTTTCTTTTATTAATCACCCCAGGCCCGTATATATATATACTATAAAACAATGGAGGATGATAATGTTAATATAGTAAAGTAACTATTCTAGGAATTTAAATCAGACACGCGCAGTTATATAATAATCTGTTCGATTTCCTTTTCCTTTTCGAGCCCCGTCTCTCTCTCTCTTTCTCTCTCTTTCTCTCTCTCAATACTCTCTTCCTTTCCAAGAAAAACACAAAGCTTGCTTATTAATCCAAGATAACTATTATTGTTTCTCGAGATTTATTCTCTCCCTCTCTCTCTCTCTCTCTCTCTCTTTCTCTGTTTTGTGTTTACGACGACGGATTAGATCATGTTTCGTTCCGAGAAGACGGAAAAAATGGATAAACGCCGACGGAGACAGAGCAAAGCCAAGGCTTCTTGTTCCGAAGGTCTGCCTTCCCTCTCTCTCTCTCTCTTTTTTTCTTTCCCTGTTCACCAGTTTTGATAGTCTGATCTTGTGTATTGTTTTTTGTCCAACAGAGGTAAGTAGCATCGAGTGGGAAGCTGTGAAGATGTCGGAAGAAGAAGAAGATCTCATTTCTCGTATGTATAAACTCGTTGGCGACAGGTATCCGAAGATATATACTCTCTTCTCTCTTCTTTCCATCTCTTGATCGTTTGATATTATTTTCCTTTTTTTTTAATCTTTCAACTTCTTTTTTTTCTACCAATCTGCTCTGATTCACTGATTTGATCTTTCATTATACTCTCTGTTTATTTAGTCGGTCTTTTCTTTATTTTTATGTTATTATTATTGAGTTTTTCTTTTGTATTATTGGGCCTAACCGAGCTGTCAATGACTCTGTTTAACCTGATTTTTTTTCGTTTTCTAACTTTTTAGTTTATAATGTGGGACTCAAATTTGAGGTTGTTGTTTTTACTTGTTTCCTTTATGTTTTTCCTCGTTTGGTTCAATTTTGATTACAGCATGATTGTATCAAAACAACAACTACAACAACAAAAAAAACTCTTATAACAAGTTATAATAAAGGGTATTTATGTAATTTAATCAACAAGAACTGACTGTGAGTTGATCATACGTGGCGCGTAGGTGGGAGTTGATCGCCGGGAGGATCCCGGGACGGACGCCGGAGGAGATAGAAAGATATTGGCTTATGAAACACGGCGTCGTTTTCGCCAACAGACGAAGAGAGTTTTTTAGGAAATGATTTTTTCCCCCATTATTAAAAAACAAAAAAAAAGTTTTCCACTCCTTAATTTCTCAAGACAAGAAAAAAAAGGAAATGTACCTGTCCTTGATTTTTACTATTTTGGAATGTATAATTATCAATATAAATATAATTTGCTTAGGATTCAATTTACCTGTCCTTTATCTTCCATCTCTCTCTTATAAGTTAGTTATATCGCATTTTGTAATCCTAGTGAGATTAACCACAGTTTTTCTCAACTCTTTTACATACAGTATTTTGCTGTTTTATAGTTCCAGTTTTTATTTTCACACAAAACAAAGGTGAATAAGGAAAAAAATAAGTGTCTTAATTAAAAAATATTATTAGAAAAAGGGCTTCAGTGAAGTAGCCTTAAAAGAGGCCCAAGGAGTCTGCTCATTTCTATTGGGTCCAATAGAAAGCCCATTACTTAGTTAACAGTTTAAGTACGGTGGGGGTGACAAAGCGTATTCACAGTGTCAATAGACATGCATGCCGTTTAGATATTTGATTCATAACGTTCCTGCCGTTCAACGTACTGGCCTCATGCAACTGCTTTTGAAAAGTGGCAACTTCTCTATATATTTCACTCAGTCATGTCATGTTACAACCAATAGATTCTGAGGGAATAAGCAGGTTCATAAAAATTCGAGGTTAGGGTGTCCCTTTAGAAATCATCCTTTGGCCTTTGCAAATAATATTTGCGTCGAATATCACCAAAAGTGTATATAGTTCTGTAGCCTTCCTTTTTGCGTAATTGTCATAAGATTCGAGACTTAAATAGATTTAATAATTTACGATTTTACGTTCCAATATTCTTTGATTTCTCACCGTTTCCATAATTTTATTTCCCTCAATAATGTATATTGATGTTATATGCTACAAAATAAATTTATGTGGCTAGGAGTATTATTATTATTTTGTTTAACAAAAAAAGTATTATTTTTTTTTTCTCTAATAAGAAAACTCGACAACTTATTTAAAGTAAAAAGACAAATACAATGAAAGTGTTACGATGTTTTCACACGTGCTTATCATCTTCACCGGACTTTCCTCTGTGTTCAGTTCACACTTTGGCGTGACTAACACTTTGATTTTATTTTATTTTCGACATGGCAGACATCAATATTGATATTTGTTATTCTTCTTCTTCATATTATTATTATTAATTAGTGCACTAGTGTTATATATGTGAACTAAATCTAATTTTTCATGTCGTTAGGTATTTCAACGAATTTGAGTTTTGTAAAAATTTTGCAGCTTACTATTTATTTCCATAGTTTTATCACTTTTATGTAAATTTTTAACACATACTGTTTTTGATGTGTGAAAATTAATTTATGACAATTTTATGCTTCGTAACAATTCTACATGTTTTGAACGAACATGCAAAAGAATAAATCATTTGGAAGGGGGAAAAAAACAATTCTACATGTTTTCTTTGTCAGTCATGAAAAAGTGAAAATTGTTTTGCAGTAATTCTGTATACCAAATTACCAATCATGCATGAAAAAAAAACCAAAAAGAAAAAATAGAGAAGTTGTATAATGGTGAACACATTCAAAATCTTCAAATTTTGCCAAATAAAACCAGTCTCTTATGCCATTTACGTCTAAAATGTCATATCAGTATCTAACAAAATCTGTTTGACAAATAGACTGAACAATTGTATTTTTTTAGGGTTTTTTCTATCTTTTCTATGCGGTTATTGACGCATTATCGATCAAAATAATAACTTCAACAGCTTAAAATATAAATATATACTGTATAAAAAAACTAGTGAAAGGAGAAATGAGAAACAAATACGTATATTAGCACAAATAATAATTGATCGGGATGACATGTGGGTCTCTAAAATAAAAGGGCGTTATATCTTTTTCAACACGCACCCAAAGTCCTTTCATGGAAATTACCATTAAGATACAAAAATCTATAATCACCTTAAATACATAATTGTGCAAAAATCTATAATTACCTTAAATACATAATTGTGCAAATCATATTATATCGGTGTGGTATATATTATCTAGTGTATTATAATTTATAAATTTGTTGTTTCAGTGGTAGTTGTTTTTATCATTCCCGTCGATAAGGAAATAATACATATCGCCTTTGGAAGTTTCCTTATCTTACACGAATATTATTAATTACTTGTCAAAATATTTGTGTCAGTTTCCTTATGGATATATTATGTTCAAATATCGGTTTGGTTTATGTGACTACAAATGTTTTCATTATAAGCAAATATGGATCATAATTCTAATTTGTTCTGAGTCTTTTCGACCGTCACATATTTTTAAATTTTAACTAATGAAATCTGGTCTATGCATGCATGTGTTTTTCTCTAATCTCTATCAGATTGAAAATATTAAGTCAATTTCCTAATTAATAGTTTCATTACTTCCTTTCGGGGGTTTATTACATTGATCTAAAAAGAGTTTACTACATTAATAAATTAAACATGAATCACCAAAACACAGGAGAACGGTTTTGTTATTCTAACTGATTTATTATGGTTGTGATACGTACTTAAGAAAGCAGTATCTTTCTAATCAGTCGTCTTTATCACTTCGAAGCAAGAAAGAACAAACCCAGATTAAGATTTTATTTTAAGTGATTCATTAAGGAGGCACGGCACCCAACCATATGCATAGAGTCCAGCCATGCTTGACTAATTATTTGATAATTTTGATCTCACTTAATTAATTAATTGTTTCACAACAATAACAACAAAAAAAAAAAAAAGAGAGAAGGCCATGTGCATATGTATGTATATGCCACTCGGCCATTTTTACTTAAATTTTTTTTAGTTAGTCATAAACTATTCCCTTGACCAGACGCGTTAAACTAGCAGTAGACGCGTTGAAGAATAAAACATTCAGTTCATATAAAATATACTATATAAAATCAGTTTTATTTTTTGTTTTCTTCCAAATTGAGTAATTAATTAAGTTCAAAGGCAGCAGCAGCCTCTCTAGACACTTACTTCCAAAAAGAAATCAGATTGGACTCAGAAAGCTACAAAGTTGGTAACTGAGAAACATAGAATAGCACATAAACAGACTACTACAGTAATGTGGATTTCTCAAATAATATTCAGCTCGACGAATATGGCAAAACGCATAAGGTTAGGTTTCATCTTGATTCACACAAAATTTGTTTGATTCTATAACGAGCAAAAATTTAAATTAACAACTCTCTATGCATGATGATGTTCTGCCATATAACATGGACAATTAATTATAAAATTTCAGTTTTTCTTTTTTTTTTGTCCCGTTATATTTTTAAAAAACTTTTGGTACTTGAAAATTCCAGCATAAAATACCATAACTTTTGGTGAGTCATGTTTATGTTCTACCTATATATATAATTTTTTCGGTATGTGTTTTGTAACCTTTTCGCTCGAGAAGCTTACAATAGCCTATGTTGAATGCCACAACATATATGGATGTTCGTGAATTCGGATTTAATCGTATTAAATAATGGTAATAATACGTCATAGTCAATTGTGTGAATAAAGAAGACACAATGGACTCTAATTTCTCAAAACTACACCTGCATGGTTTGATCTGATCCGTAGATTCTTGGTTTTGCTTTTAGAGGCACGATCATTTCGATCTTTGACCCCCCATATCTAGAAATATAACGAACTGTACACTATCCAAATCATATGTGTAAATATGTGAATCGAATAGCTTTAGAGTTCATATATGCAAAATCTTTTCTTTTTTCTTTTTGACTATGTTGGTTATCTAAAATATTTTTTTTTTAAATTGTATTATAAATAGAAGAGTGTAATTTAGGGAAACAAAACAAGAATTAGTAGAAAGAAAAAAAGAAGTGACGCAAGAAATGGGATGAGATAACGTATGGTTGTTAACGTCATTTATAGCCTAAAACAAAGAGACATTCAACCGGATCTAATAACGCGGCAGGGACGTCTTTGAAGATTATTGTTTATTGGTTCACTCGTCTTCTTCAATCATTCTTTTTCATTTCTCTTTTCTTTTTAATTTATAATAACGATTAAATCAGCTTAACCGGTTGAGTGATTAGGACTCACCAGATTTGGGTTCTTCTTCTTCTTCTATTTGTGATTGAGGAGATAATAGTTGACGCTTTCTAGATAAGTAGTACTTTGACTATATATACACTACTGTAAATCGAATATAAATTATAGAGATAAAATGATTATAGTAATAGCCAAATAAGGGTATTGAATTAGCAACTAAAAGAATATTCTCTTTTGTTTCCAACCCACAAGAATTTTATGAATTCCAACGTTACTAGTATTAGTTTGGTATGTTAAGACAAATATAGAGTTTACACACACAAAAAAAAAGAAAAAAAAATGACAAATATAGCAATTTATATAGTACGTATATTATTAATATAAAAAAACAGTGAAAATAATAATAATCCCCTAAGCCTTTTTTTTGTGTCAATTTCTATCCAGTATCCGTCTCTTTTCCACACAACTTCTTCTTGTGTAAGGCCTTTTTAAAAACGAAATAAAAATAAATAAATAAATAAATAAACTTATTGTATAAGGAGCAAGCAACAAAGGACATAGTACAAATCACAGAATCTCATCGGCCGCATGTATATATATAAATAGAGGTCCATGGCCACACTTACACACGAAAACTCACAGCTCTCTCTCTCTCTCTCTCCGATCTCACTCAGAAAAGCGAATTCTAAAAAGATTCCTAACTTTTTTTTTCTGCAAGTGAATGCAGAGATGATGATGGAAGAGAAACTTGTGATCAGTGAACTGGAACTAGGGAAAGATCTCGCCAATCGATTGATGAACAATCTCAAACACTCTTCTTCTTCTTCTTCTTCTTCTTCTTCTTCTGATTCCAACAAAACCTTGATCTCTGAGATCCTCCGTATTTACCAGAACGCCATTTTCATGTTGAGCCTCAACGAAGACAAGAACCCCCTTAAACGAAGAAGCCCTGATCACAAGGATTCTAATTTCGTCTTCAAAAAGAGGTACTTGTTTTTATCCTCTCTCTCTCTCTCTGTTTGAGTTCCAATTTTTTTCATATGTCTGATTCGTTTGGGGATTTTGCAGGAAAACATCATCAGAGCAGCAGAAGACAGAGAAAGTTAAGGTTTTTGTCGCATCAGGACAAGATAATGGTTCAATCGACGATGGTCATTGCTGGAGAAAATATGGACAAAAAGAGATTCATGGATCCAAAAATCCTAGGTACCTTACCGAGATTTTGGGATCTTCAAAAGTTTTCTTTCCTTCCCGTGAAAATTTTTGCTAAATACTTATGTCTCTCTGTTTCTGCTATTACAGAGCATATTACAGATGCACGCATCGATTCACACAACACTGTTTAGCAGTGAAGCAAGTCCAGAAATCAGACACAGATCCTTCCGTTTTCCAAGTGAAGTACGTCGGAGACCATACTTGTAACAACATCGCATCCCCCAAGGCGACGACCATCAACTTCTCTGTTTCAATGTTCGGAGAAGTAAACAGAGCGAATGTCACAGAGCATTCCGAAGACGTCAAACCGAAGAAACCCGAAGAAGTGATGATCAATCTTGAAGATCTGGAGAACAAGAAGAACATTTTCAGAACGTTTTCGTTCCCGAACCATGAGATTGAGAACACAGACTGGAAAAGTAACATTTTCACAGTGGGAGAGCTTTCTCCAGCGACATCAGGATCTAGAATCACAAGCGAGATTGTATCCGCACCTGCTTCTGTTGAGAATGCCGAAACTGCAGATTCGTATTTCTCATCGTTGGAAAATATTATCGATCCGGATTGGTTGTGGTCGGAGCTTTGATTGGTGAATATGTAATGTCTCTTTTAAGAATTAAGATGATGACAGTAATTATATTAGATGATGCGTGTTTTAATTTCAGGGTTATATAGTATTAGCTTATTTTTTGCCGATGGATTAGATTTGGCTTTTTAGGATTTTACATAATTTCGGCCCTTTTCTTCTTCTTCTTTTTTTGGTTCAGCAGGGTTTATGAATTTATTTCCCCTATGAAGTTGTGATTGTACTTTATCACAATTAATAAAGAAAGGATTGTGTTAAGGTTTGTTCATCTGTCAGTTTAAGTTGTTTGTTTTATGATTAATTCGATAGAAAGGCATTTGAATGATTAAAATTATGAAAATTCTTACTTTGTAAACTAAAAAGATGCAATTATTTCGATGAGCATTTTCAAAAGTTAGAAAATTCGTCCTATATTTGTCAAAATACTGTAGTAGAATGGGAAGAAAAGAGAATTCCAAACAGAAGTAGTAAATAATAATTAGTTCATCCCATGTTTCAAATCAAATGATGCTTATGGGCCTTGAGCCCAATTCAATACTACCAGTAACAAGCCCAATCTCGGACACACGGAAACTTGTGTCGTCGAGTTCATCAAAAGAATGAAAATTGAAGGAAGATAGTCGGGAAAGAAGACCAAAACGAAAGTTCCGAAGAAGAAAGACGAAGGAGAAAGGGATGATTTACCGAAAGTGGAGTTTGCTGTCCGGTCCACCGGTTATCCTCGGCGGAGCCGTGATTGCCGCCGTTGCCGTCGGATTTGTCTTGCAAAACGTATTCTTCTTCTCTTTCTCTTGCTCAATCGTTAGATCTATATTTTGATTAGCTGGGTTTTGCCATCCTTCTTCGCTATTTCTCATCTGTTGAGCTCCTTCTTTTCTCTTATTCGGATCGCAATTGCTCTTGATGAGTTAGTAATTGTCCCTTTTCGAACCTTTAGGCGTGAAAGGAACATCCTTTAATTGATATTTTTGTATTTGTGTTCTTCTCTGCTTCAATTTAATGAATCAGGATTGCCTCTATTTGGGTTCTTAGGATTGAATCCAGAAATCAAATTGTAACGCTATAAAGTTTTCTACTTTGATCCGATATTCATCAACGGTGTCAGACGCTTAAGCTTCTTTCTTGACTTTACATAAAACCATTGTAGTTTTGGAGTCTGACTTTTGGAGTTTTATGATCAGGTAACAAAAGGGGAGCAAAAGAAGAATGTCTCAACGAACAAGTGAGAAGACTAAATGAGAAGATGCTACAAAATGTGGTGTGTTGTTAATCATGTGATTTCAAACATTGTAGTTCTTGCAGTGTAAGCTCAATAATGCTTTTGGAAGCTTTGGAATACACTGATCTTTTTGGTGTTCTAGATTCTTGTTGCCAATAATGATATTTCATTTTCCACTTTCTCATTCTTTACATTGATCACTAGGCTCTGTAGATTTAGAACAAAGTTTCAGCCTAGTAATGTTAAGATAATCTAACACGGATGTTTAGAGAATACAATAACATAACTGGGATGGTCATGAAACATTCCTTTAGATCTCTTCATGTAGCTCTCCTTGGTACTCTCATCCCGAACCCACGCTTTAGCTTATCGACCCTGCCCATGTAGTATCACACTCAGATACATGAACTAGTTTGGTAAGCCTAAAGAGAAATGTTATAGGTTTTTTTCAAATGCTTACGTTGGGGCAAGTTTGCCAAGACTATCTAGCTCTTCACCGGTATCTTCGTCTATTACTCTACCTGAGATGTAAACAGTGTAGTATCGATCTCTGTCGCGTGGGAGACCTCTGGCATTGAGCAAGCGCAGGTCTTTCTGGTGAAGCTCCCTTCCATTCACAAAGACTCTTGTGGTTCCTCCAGCACAATTCTCTGGCATTGGGTGATTGAGCTCTTCAATGAAAGGCTGTAAGAAAGGTGTCACCACCTCTCACCAGTTTTAGTACGCATTCTGTAGAAATGAAGAGAGATTGAAGAATACAGTTCATTAGTTGATGTTTACCGGTAATATTCCAAGACAGTGACTTCCCATTATTCCCCAGAATCCAGCTCTGTAGTCGTACCTGTCACCAAGCAACAGAGCAGAAGATAATCATCAGCCCTAGTAGGTGAGAAAAATTAATGAGATGAAGAACCTCATGTACCAGTAGTTTCCTGGCCTAATTGGTCCAGCCTGCTTCTCTGCCATTTTCACCAGACGTTCAGCTACAGGATGCCCATTTACTGAGACATCACTTCTGCTTTCGTTCTGTATAGACTTCTTCAGATCCTTGAAGCTATTCTTCATAATACTCGCGAATCCGCCCTGCTTGGTTCTTCCCTGATCATCTGTATAGTCATTTGCCGAATCTTGAGACACTTCATTGTTGTGAGAGTAATCATTAAAGTCCATCTCAATTGCAACTGAAGCATCTTTCATAGAGTTCTGTCTCATGGCTGTTTTTCTCTGCGTGACCTTGTCCAGTTCTGAACGAGAGCTGCGGCTCCTTGGCCCAGACCGGTCCCTAACATTGGTTGAAGAGTATTCAAAGTGTTTGTGAAGAGGTGAATCAGGAGTAACTTTCCTAACTGTTGAACTGTCTGAGCTTAGCTCGTCTTCAGAGACACTAGGAGAAGTAGAATCCGCAATCTGCATTTCTTGAGCTTTTTCAGAAACCAAAGCCAGACCAGTTGATACGTTGTCCGGTCCTCTATCCATTGCATGGAATTCATAAGCAGTATTATCATAGTCATCAGATGAGAAGTTAGCAGCAGTTACCCAATTCAACCTATTATGAGTTTCTGTTTTTTTTGGTGAAGCAGGATCCTTAGAGAGAATGAGTTTCTTATCAACAAAGGAATAATCTATTACACAAGAGCATGCTCCGCACCGCAGTCTCTGTTGCTTTCTCGTCGCAGAATCTATTTTGTCTGGCAATTTCAGAAGTATGAAGCAGTTTTTACAGTTTATAAATGGTGCACCACCAGCCACAGGGTGGATTAGACGAGAACCACCTGAAGATGATACAGCTTTCGGGGGACGAACACGAGAAATAGCATTCATTCGCGCATCCCCAAATCCACTCGGACATCTTCCATGGAGCTGTGGACCAGGAGATTGAGAACCAGGAGGATGCGAAATATAGGTTCTCGGACTATGACCAAAACTTCTCTCATGAGGATAAAAACCAGCATTATGCAGAGCATCAGGCAAACCTGAGGGAGGAAACACTGAGCCTGAAGCTCTATGATATGGATCATAGCAGTGGGAACAAGAGCAAGTTGATTGATGTAACATCCCATTTCGTGGGTGTGTATCAAACAAATCATGACCATTATTGGCAATATACTGTCTAGAGTTGTGCAGATGAGATGGCTGCAGAGTTCTTTCACGCATCTGGATCCCGAGAGGGTCTTCATAAGCTGGAACATGAGAAAAGTTATGCATCGGACCACGCAGAGAAACATCAGGGTTATTGCTATAAAGATATGGAGGTTCAGGTTCTGGATAATGACGGTGATATGAAGAACTTGCAGCATGTTTTCCAGAACTGAAAAACCGCAATGGAGCCTTTTCTAATCTTGAAGAAGGACTCGAGATCTGCAGCTCGTTAAGTTGAAGAAGCTGTTCTTTTAGCTTATCCAATTTTCTCACCAGTCCAGCTCTGTCTTGATCAATGGCTTCATCACTAGACAGAGAATCTGTGAAATAGTTAGAAGTGGAGAATCTGAAACCTTGGAAATCGCATCTCTTCTTTGTTCTTTGCCTAAACCCATCCGAACCCGGTTGTGACTCATTATCACCAGAATCCACGACATTAAGTTTCGAACTAGGATCACAGTGAACATCCCAAGTCTCTGTTTGACCATTATGTTGGTCTCTTAATGAAAAATTGGAATCAGAGTCATAATCACTTAAAACAGAGTTAACTTCAGCTGCTTTGGCGGTATTATCCACGGACTCAACCGACACCAAATCTGCTTCACGATCCTTGTTTTTGGCTTTACATACAGAAGAAAACAAACAAACAAAAACTCTGTTGGGTCAGAATAGTGTTACCCTCCTGTTTACCTTAACTTAATGAATGGTTGAAACATCAAAAACAAGAACTAGCTAATCTCTGAAATCATGCGATTCTTAGTTCAACTACCTTGAAAGCTAAAGAGAGGGAGAGATGAAAATGGAAACTAACCGCAAAGAACGGTTCCACAACCACCACACTGAAAAAAGGAGCAATCTTTAGGCTCTGGTAAGAGATTCTTGCACTTGGGACAACGAACGAGCCTTAGTTGGACCGTCGACTCGGTGGCCATCACCGTCCCGAAGAAATAAAAACAAAACACAGAAACAAAAATGTCACTCAGCTAACAAGAAAGATACTCAACAATCAATTCAAGAAAAGAGAAACTAAGAACTTAAGAAGACTTGTTATTGCGGTTAAGTCTCTAAAGAGATGAAGTCTCCTAAGCCTTCATTCTTGAAACCAAAAGATGAAAAGAGAGAGAGAGACTCTAAAAAATGAGAGTTTCAACTTTCAAATCGATTTATTTTGGGCGGGCCAATCTACAAAGTGGGGACATTTGTTTTCTAATTCTTCCCTTCTTTCCCTTTCAGAGTCACTACCAAGAAATATAAATTTAAGATTACCTTTACTTTTTCCAATGTTTTTAGTTGGTAAAATCTTTACTGTTACTCTGTATTTTCGAACTTTACTTACGTTAATTAACTCGGTAGGTGGAGCTCACATATTTATCAATCAAGGAAGGAGAAAAGTCTTAAGGTTAAGGTCAAAAAGCCAAACTGGTTTTAGGACAATAAATAAAGGACACATTAAATTGATGAGTGTGTATGTGGTAGAAAGTGGTTACTTGTCTATTTCTCATTTACTTTTTTTTTTGTATAATTAGTTAGTTCTACTGGTTTTTGAATTTCTTCTAATGCTGCTATGCTATATTTGTTTGTAAAGTTTGAAACTTAATTTGAGGATTAAAATACAAAGAATTTTCAAAAGATTGAAGGAGGGAAACGAATCAAAGCTTGCTCCCAAATTCATTCGAGAAAGAAACAAAGCAACAAACAAAAACTAGAAGATGGTCGTTGGATTATTATACAAACTAGAAAGTAACAAATACAGAAAAAAAAGATAAAGCAAATACAGTAAGCTTTTACAAAAGGTAAAGCAAAATACAGTACAAAGCTCGTAAGGTTTGTACGAGGGTAATTTGGACCCTGAAGATGGGCCTCTAAGGGTGTAACTGTAAGCCCATTCGGTACATATTTTTCTTTTAGCTCACACTCTCTCGATAGGCACACAGTTTCAGACTAAATTCATCTGAAAAATGTTGTTGTTTCAGACTTTCAGGGAATAACAAAAATCCTAAAACAAAATATATGGGAAGCTGGGAGCAATATGAGTTATTCTTATATATCACATCTCAGTTTGAAGTAAGAAAATTTCTAGCTAAAAGAAAACGCAATTTTCATCTCACAAAGCAACTCGAAATAAAAAAAAGTTACAGATTAGAAGAACAAATGTTTGTAACAAGAATCCCACCAAACACAACAATCAAACATCTTCTTCTTATTATTGGTTGGTTCCTTCTTTTCTTCCTTCTTCTTTCCATTCCACCAATATTTTCTCCGGTGAATGCAAGGCACGCTCGTAGCCGATGACGCAGAGGAACAACCATCCTCGATCTCTTTATCCATCAAAGCTCGTAGAGTCAAACCAGACTGAGACTGCCGAGGGAGAAGAGACTCAGGAGAGAAAGGCATTAGTTTACGTTCGATGATGTCAACAAAAGAGACGAGTTCGTAAGAATCGTAGAGAGGAGTCTCACAGTCCCAGATTTTATGATCACGACCATCACTGATCCTTTCTTGTGAGTTGCTTGCAGCATGGAGTCTTGTGTCGCCTGTCATCAGTGCAGGGCTCAAGACTTCTCTCAAAGACGATTTCTCACAATTTCAAGTTTTTATTTATTTTGTTTATTCTTTTAGCTATTTGTTTCTGATGTTTGATGTTCTATATAATATATATATAGGGCTGGCTAGATAAAATTTGTGTGTATTAATAAGAAACTGTGACTCACTGTGACTGTTTATAGTATCGAATCACGAGGTACATAATTGTGGATACAATGTTCATCTTCATGTATTTACTTAATACCAAATTTGCTACTCCCCGACATTAGAGTGTATGTGTATTCAACTTATCACTGTTAGAATATATTACTGCTGTTATTCTTTTCTTATTATCCTTATTTCAAAATAGGAAAATTTCAATATATTCCTCTCTCGATTTTTTTTTTACTGATTTCAATTTTTATCTTTTGACATCTGTACTGTACTGACACCGAAGAGGCGAAGACAAAAAAAAAAAAAAAAAAAAAAAAAAAAAAAAAAAAAAAAAACATTTTTACTGATATACCATAGTTAGGGGGAATTTCCTGAGAAAGTAATATTTAGGTTTTCTAAGTTATAAAGACATGGTACGCTATCTATAGTATTAACAATCTTACAATCATATAAAAGAAACAACATATTTGTTGTTTTTCAAAGGCATGCGATAAACCCATGTGGTATGTTGTCGAATATAAAGGAAATATACATTATCAAATATTATCAATTGATCATCCTTTGGAAAAAAATATCTGGAAAAATGGATAAAATACTTTTTTTGGTTCAGAAAATGGATAAAATACTTATTAACTACTTTCTCTATGTACCGATAGTAAATTTCCTATAATTCAGCTTTTTTTGGTTTCACATTCCAATATTTATAACAAACATTTATGCTCAGACTTGTAGCCAACTTCGAATGATCATGCTTGTGTTCTCAAATATAAACAAATTTTACAAAATAAAAAATAAATATATATATATATATAGACGACGTTTCAGCATGTTGTAAATATGTCCAAACTCACAAGCGAGCTGTTGTTGTTGTTAGTGTTAGTGGACGACTACATGTAAATATGATCCAAGATTGCATATGTAAACGTCTGTCCCACCAATAATGTCATAATCACGTATTGCTTTCTCAGACAAAATCACACCATAACTATTAAGTCTATTATGTATTTCTTCTCTTCTGCTACATACTCAGCCTGTTTATGATTATTCTTTTTTTTTTTTTTTTGGAAAAGCACCAAACTTTCATGTCTAAATTCATTTATTCACCACCTTCGTTATTGGTTTTGATTTTAAAAGTAAATGTTTTTTAAGATTCAGTTTTGAATTAATTAGGTTCTCTAATATAAACAAGTAGAACAGTATGGTGTTATATTTGGATTCGGTTCGTGTGTCAAAAAATTTTAAAATTTGGCTCAGGTCAGATCGAAATAGATTAGATTATCCAAATTTATATTCTCCAATCTTTAATTGCAATCAAATTCGAATCTTGATTAGATTTTTAACTATGAAAAAAATAAAAAGGTAACATCACATCAGAAATCTATTTATTTTTTTCCCAAACACTGATTGCACAAAAAGCAAAGTAAAGACCACTGTTGGACACATGTATAAAGATAGAAAGTTTTTTCTGCCCTTATATATATTTATATGCTCTCAATTAAATAACGTAAAGAAACGATATTGACAATAAAGACAACAAAGACAAATAAAAACCAACTATAAAAACCCACTTTTCTTGGATTTCAGAATTTCTTTTTAGTCAAACGCTGTGCTGAAGTAACGACTCACCACATTATCACACAGGATTTGGAGAACCTTTGCATTACTTGGCTTCACACATCGTGGCATCTTAAACTGTCCAGCAGACGAACCAAGCCCGAGAAAATGTTCTTGAATCTTCTGGAATGTTCCTTTCCCGACAACTTTTAGCTCCAACGCTCCAATAGTCTTGCATTTCCTGGAGCTAGAGTAACCCGCATCGATGAATCCTCTGTCTAAACAGTTGCAGCAATCTTGAAGAACGTCTTCGTTTGCTTCACCTGAAATCTCCCAGAATATAGCGTAATGTCCTGGATCTTTCGAGACATCGATGTGGCTAGAGAAGTCTATGACTTCTATCTTTTCTTCTGAGAGTCTCTTTGCAGCAAAATCTACTGAAAGCTGCAGGTCTCGTTCTGTGTTCTTGTCGATGTTGATCGAGAGAATCAGGTTTCTCCTGCATATGAATTTTAGTAGGGGAGTGTTGTTGTAGAATCCTGTGATCTTTACCACATCTCCAAGCCGGTACCGATACAACCCTGTGCAATGTAATGTGGGTCAGATATGAGATTTTAAGCTTTTATTATGAGACCTATATAATACAAGGGTATATATATATGTACCTGCGTAGTTTGTGATGACAACCTCGTACTCTTCTCCGATCTTGACTTCAGTTAGACCAACTGGTTTCTCCTCTCCTTCCCCTGTTTCAGATACAGGGAGAAACTCGAAATAACCGAGATTTGGAATCACTGCAAATGTAGCTTCCTCTGGAGACAATCTAGGGGTAACATTAGCGGCAATCCATCCTTCTGAGCTACCGTAGTCATGACTCACTAGAGGTAGATCTCCCGCGTAATGTCTCAGCTTATGCACATACGGCTCCATGGAGCCAGTCATGATCCCGTAAACATACTTTGCGTTCGGGAAGAGCGCAGGAATCAATCCGTACCAGTTGCTCAAACTCATGCATTTGTTGCGGATTGTTTCCGCCAGCTCAGGGTTAGGTGTGAGCAGCTTCGACATTGCGGCACGGACTGATGGGACAGTAATACGGCTGCTTAGGACACCGTCTTTGATATCTGTAAGAATCTCTTCCCAAACCTGTTCAAAGGTTCTAAACGCGTGAACTAGACCGTGAGCAAAGACTGCAAAGACGTACTGAACTTGGTCTCGGAAGAGAATCCCGGATAGGAGATGACAGTACAAGGCTTGATGGACATCAGGACTAAAGATGACTTCGTCAGGACTACAACAAAGAGAGGTTATAGATTTCATCCCTGCTTTGAAGTTAGGGTTACGGTAAACGTTTGTGGTTGCGGTTCCTATGGGGACACCTCCCGTTGATGTGTACTGCTTGCTGCTGAAGATAAATTGCAAAGCTCTCCCAGTGTCATCAATCGGGAATTCTCTGTAAAACAAAAGAAAAGAAAAAACATCACATGTTAAAGGCTTAGTTGGTGGTAACATCCTTAATTACTCTGTTCATGTGAATGGGTGGAACAGAGAAAAGTGTGTAAATGTGGGGAACATAATCACTGATCCACTATACCTGTTTCTGAAGGCAAAGGCTGTGCGAAACAGTTGTAATGTGTTCTCCATTAACTCATCAGTGAAAGGAATAAACTTTGGACGGCCTTGACTAGTTCCAGAACTGTTGATCAGAGAACACACACAAATTAAGATTCATTCATTAATCTATGGGAAACAGAACAGAATCATCAATCATCATGAATGATAAGAAAAAAGAAGAAGAAAGAGGTAATTAACGGCAGCAAGTTAGTTTTACCTCAGGGAAATGGCAGGAACAGGGTGGCCAGTGAGAATAGGTGAAGTGTCACCATCGACCATTCTTTTGATGTAAGGCTCTAACTCAACGTCAGTGACCAAAGGAACCATCGATTTGAAAGCTTCTTCAGGGTCAGTGGCGTTGCCGTTGAGACCAAAGTTTTGTAAGTAGACGGCGGATTTGTTCTTGAGTAGAATCTCTTGCAAGGTTTGTTTCTGGACTTGATCAGCGTTTCTTGTCATTTCATCGAATTCATCAATGACTCTGTTCATGTCGAAAGTCTCAACCTTCTCCAACATCCTAAATTAGAACAAAAAAAAGAAGAAGCAAAAGTGATCAGATTCTGACAGATTTGCAGAGAGAGAGAGAGAGAGAGAGAATGTAAGGAAAGGAAGAGGAGAAAGAAACTTAAAAGGGTCGTCTTTATGTTACAGAGCATCCATAAAGGAAAGTTTTTAGAAATTCTTATGACAGAAAACCAAAAGATTTCTGGAAAAATTATTATTCCAAACTTTTTAGCAGTTTTTTTTTTTTGTTTGTAAAGAAGACAAAAGGGAACTCGGTAGTAAGAAAAACCGTATTGAAGTGAGGAAACAATCCAAAAAAAAAAAAAAAGCCACGAATCCGATGATGACTCGGGAGAAGCTCTTTATCGAATCGGAAACTATGGAAGCGAGGAATCACGAATCGTAGGTTTTTGGAAGAAGGGAACAAAGCCCAATAAGTTTTTTTTCGATTACTATGGAGAGAGAGAGAGAGAGAGAGAGAGAGAGAGGTAATAATCGGAATCATTCAGATTGAACAAGTAAAGATGTGAGAGAGACAAGTTATGGAATCTGTCTATCTGAAGAAAAAAGAAAAAGTCAACGAGGGTCGGAACCGGAGAAATCAGAAAGAGAGTCGTTAGTTACCCGATCAGAGGAAACGGATTAGTAAGGGATTAAGAAAACGTACAACTTTAGTATCAATCAGGATTAAGATGAAGAAGAAGAAGAAGAAGAAGGCAGATAATGATATAAAGAAGACAGAGAGAGAGAGAGAGTGAGTAGTAACCTGGTGTTGTTGCTGCGAGCTTTCTGCTCTGTGTGTAGGCTTCGCTTAGTGGAGGGATTGATGAGAGAGAGAGAGAGAGATATCAGAAATTAAAAAAAAAGTTGAGTGTGATTTTGGAAAGTCAAGAGATAGCTCTGCAATTTATAGGCAAACCCCTTTTTTTTTTTTTTTTTTTGTCCTGAAAGAAAACAAAACAAAAAGAAAGAGGACGGAGCAGCGGAAAAAAAAAAAAAAAAAAAAAAAAGGGTTGAAGGCGATAGATTAGTGAAAGCCGTTATCTCTCTCTCTTTCTTTTCTCAAATTTTGCCGATGGGATCTCTCTGATTTTTATTTTATTTTTCTCCGACCAGA